CCTTAGTGGCACAGGAGTTAAAGTCTCAGCACAATCAAGCTATCACCAGCCACTGTGGCATGAGTTCGATCCCCAGCCAAGGAGCTGACCCACGGGGCGCAGCAGATTTCTCCAGTCTTGACCACTGCTCCCCTCAGCAGTGTATTTCAGTACATCTGCCTGTTCTGCTCCCTACTCTGTCTCTCGTGAATCCTCCTACCCCCACACCTCTGGCCTATACCCCAGTTCTTATATGCATAAATAAATAAAATAAATCTTAAAAAAAAAAAACTTTACAAAATACGCTGCAACTGGATTTGGTCTGTAGCCTATATTTTGACCATTCCTGCCTCAACTCTCACCTAGAAATTCCTTACTTTTCTTTTCTTCCCAATTAAGAATATTATCTGTACCTACATTTACACAAAAAACAAAATTCTGGGCCTCCCCGGTGGCGCAGTGGTTGAGCGCTGGGTTGTGAAGCTGCCCACATCCTTTGCGGTGCCGGTTCGATCCCCGGCCACCAGCGAGGGTCCCACATGGCAGGCAGACCTCTCCTGCCGCCCGCTGATCCCCTCAGCAGTGTACTTTGTCACTCTGCCTATTCTACTCTCCGCTCTGGCTCTGGTGAATTCTCTCACCCTCCCGCGCTTCTGACTATACCCAGTGCTTATACAAATAAATAAATAAAAATTAAAAAAAAAAAAATCCTGTGCAAACTGCTGACATCATACCAATTCTCTGTAGTTTGTTGTTATTCTGAATAAACTTCAATAGTCAATGTCAAATTAAGTACTTACAATTTTGTTGGTAAGTAGGCAGCAGTGTCATCTTTATTTTTTATAATGTCATTACATTTATCAAGTGTTTGAAAAACAGTAAAAGTATCTCCAATACTGTATAGGGCTGCAAGATTTTTAGCTAGCAGTTTTCGCGTTGGTGGTCCAGGTGAACTACTTATTAATCCAGTTAACTGTTCAACAAGTTTCTTCTGTTTTTCCTTTACATCAGTCTGTTACAAAAAATAAAGAACATCATCTTTTCTTATATGTACTTTTGCAACTTTTTTTATCAAAAGTAAAAAATAGTTAAAAGTTAAGGCATTAATTAATAATTAGATCTACATTAAAATAATTAAAATGTACATTACGTTCAGCAAGAGAATTTACAAGATGAGGAATAGTTCAGTAACAAATGAACCACTCTTTCCTAGACTAAATATTATTTTTCATTCCCTCCAAGGAAAAAAGTTAGGTGCCAATAAAAGTCACTGCTCTAGATCCAAAAAATTTTCCCGCCAACAAGCTCATCCACCAATAGTTAAAGGATTGGGACATGGACAACTGGTGAGCACTTAGCAGCTACTGCAAAACTCCAGATGAGAGATGAGGGTAGCAATAATGGAAATTATGAAACACAATTATATTCTAGGTATATTTAGAGGGCAGAAAGAATAGACTATGCTGATAAATATGATACTAAGTTCTAAGAATATGAGAGAAATCAAGAATGACTCTAAAAGTTTTATGACCTGAACAACTAACAAGATAAAATGGTCATTTGCTCAGGTCGGGAACAATGGGGGGAAAAGACAGGTTTGTGAAGAGGAGATCAAGAATTTGGTTTTTACTTTATTAACTTTGAGATGCTATTTAGATAGCCAAGAAAAAGAGATGGAGCAGGTTGCTGGATATCTGGGAGTCATTCTAGATACCAGTTGAAATCATGGGATAAAATGATACCACTGAAAAAATAAGGATAGATTTAACAAAAAAAGAGTGTCCAGGACTGAAAAAACAGGGCAACAAAGGAGAATAATAAGTAACTAGTGAAGGAAAAGAAGTAAAATCAAATGGTGTCTGGGAAACACAAATAGGAATAACTTCACACAATGTGTGCATCAACAGTAATGACCACAGGGGAAAAGGGTATAATGATGTTCACATTATTATGCTTTATAACTCAGACAACTTTTTATAACTCTTCTCTATTTTTTCAATTTCACAACAAAATAAAAAATATATTTTAAGCATTTCTTTTTTTTTTTTTTTTTAAGATTTATTTATTTATTTATACAAGCACTGGGTACAGTCAGAAGTGCGGGAGGGTGAGAGAATTCACTAGAGCCAGAGCGGGAAACAGAACAGGCAGACTGACAAAATACACTGCTGAGAGGAACAGCGGACAGCAGGAGGGACGCTCACTGGTGGCCAGGGATAGAACTGGCGCTGCAGAGGCTGCGGGCAGCTTCGCAACCCAGCGCTCAACCGCTGCGCCACTGGGGCACTTTGATTTTCAAAGTGGAGAATCAATCATGCCAAAAGCTGCTGAAGGGTCAATTAAGACAAAATACTAATAATTGTTTTGGACAATCGGAGATCACCAACGAATGGACAAGAGCTGTTTCATTGGAGTGGAAACAACAAATACCCAATTGGAAATGGTTATAAAGAAAATAGAAACTGGGCCTCCCCTGGTGGTACAGCAGTTGAGTGCTGGGCTGCGAAGCTGCCTGCAGCCTCTGCAGCGCTGGTTCAATCCCCAGCCACAGGTGAGGGTCCCATATGGCGTGCAGACCTCTCCTGCTGCACCTGGTGTGCAGACCTCTCCTGCTGCACCTGCTGCTCTCCTCAGCAGTGTATTTCACTGCCTGTTCTGCTCCCCATGCTGGCTCTGGTGAATTCTCTCACCCTCCTGGGCTTCTGACTGTACCCAGTGCTTATATAAATAAATAAATAAATCTTTAAAAAAAAAAATAGAAACTTACAATTAATGACAGTAAATGAATCCATACATTATGTCTTTCCAGAAATCCCACTAAAACTTCACTAAAGGGCAACCAAAAATAAATAAATGAATAAATAAATAAGCAAATACAGAACACCCACAAATCCACAAGACCAAGGAGACAGGAAACAAATCAATGCAAAATATGGAAGCCAGGTATTCCAAATAGTTTTGAGAAAAGACAATACTTGCAATACAAAGTCCTCCAGAAGTTCATGTTTGCTTGTTGAAGCTTTGAGGCCCTAGGTGCTTATGGAAGAAGGCATGAAATTATGCTCAGAAATGGAGGGAGTGATCGAGAGACTGAGAAACTGTAAGACTTCTATATCTCTCTCCTCCATTTTGGACTCAGGGAGCTTGACAGAGCTGTGGGCTGGGAAAACTACACTAAAAATGGGGAATGGGAAGGGTTTGGGTTAGTGAAAGTTTATGTGTTCAAGTCCTCAGGCTTCTCTCTCAGTTCCTAGACCTCAGCAAGCTAACTACTGATACATACTCTCAAACATCTGGGTAGAAGTCTCTTCTGTGAAGTAACTTGCAAAGAGAAACCTAAGATAGTAACACCAGGAGTTTCTCAAAGAACTGGACTATCCTATGGTAAAGTGCGGTTAACAAACTTCACCCTGCCCAGGAAACTTCTTATTGCTCCCTTACATTTCAGCAGACAGCCAAACAGCATCAGATGTTTGAGGAAAGCATCTAATTTTAAAGACAGAAAATAAATTAACACAAAGGTAATGAAAAGCAACTTGGATAAAACAGACTATACAGGAAGAAGAAAGCAAAGTAAGTCAGTTTTTTTAAGTCTATCAGAGAGGTATGTGAAGATACTAGGCTTGTTAACACTGAGGGACCACGTGAATATGAAGATAATAAATTTAAAGGGACAGCTGTCACACAGTTTGTTTTTCTCCAGTCACATTCATCTGTGCAGACAGAGATAACAACGTAAGCAAGGAGTGGACTTAAACCGGTTTTGGTTTTGCCACAGAATGGAAAAAGGACAGATAAATTCCTATTACAGTGCCACTGTCTCAAGTTTCATTAGGAACCCACAACCTTTCCAAAACATTGTGTGTGTTTTCTTACAAATCATGAACACATACAACCTACCAAATATCAACTGGGGGAAAAAAAGCAATACCATACCTTATTAGCAGCAACCAAGACTTTGTCAAGAAATCGCAACCACTCAAAGATAAAAACTGGTCTTTTTGCTTCAGTGATTTGAGCCAAAGCTTCTTCATTTAGCAGTAAGCTGTGGGCTAACTCCATTGCTGAAGTTTAAAATTCACACCTTAAAGCGACAAATAAAAAAATTACGTGTTAAGGATTTTTGAATGTTAACATTTAAGCTTAATGAATATACAATGAGCGAGAGGTGAAAAGATCAACCTTAAGACTCCTTTCTTTGGGGGTGAAATTTACATAACTTCATGGAGGCACAAGCAGAGAAGCTAATTTTAAAGGACAAGGGTACAAACAAAAACGAATGAAAGTTATAACCAGTGAGCAAGAATAATGGGATGAAAGGAAAATTGAAATATTGCAAATAAGGCATTATTTCAGCAAATGTCTTTCCCATAAATGTGAAAACTCAAGCACCGAGATCAAGCACCGCCCGGGCCTGACAAACGTCCTTTTTTCTACCCAACACCCCTGTGCTGCACTGACCAAGAGAGACGCCCAAACGTCCCAGCGCACAGACCCCGCACTGGGGGCTTCCCCTGAGGATGGGGCGGGGAGGGCAGGTCTCCGCGGCCGAAGCTTCGGGGACCTCCCGGGCGCTCCGGAACGCAGGCGGCAGAAGCCGCGCGCACTGCAGGTCTACACCCCGCTACTGCGTGTGTAGCCCCGGTGTGTAGACGGCGGGGGCGCAGGGCCAGGCCCGGGATGTGGTGCAAGTGCACGGGCTGCCGCAAGCCGCCGCGGCTGGGTCACTCGGGCTGTCAACCCCGAGCCCCGCGCCTGATGAACTCGGTGTCCCCACAGCCCCACGAAAATGTACTGGGACAGAGGGGTGCGCGTGCCTGTCAACGTGCATGCTTCGGCGGCAGAGGGGGAGGGCCTCACCTCCTCGCCAGGCAGGGGCCGATCAGCTGAGCTCCCCCGCCAGGAGCGGCCGCCAGGAGACCCGGAAGCCCCGCCTCCGCCACGGCGATCTGCAGGAAACAAGGAGACGGCGCATGCGTGGAAGGCTGGTTATGCGCATGTGCACTAACTACGTCTTTCCAGACCCGCCGGCCTCCGGTTTCGCCAATTCATTGCACGCGGAAATTCTGCGGGGACTGTAACCCCGGACGTCACGCGCAGGTTGCTGGGCGCATGCGCAGTGCGTGCTTTCGGGAGCGGCCCCTGGGCGACTAGAGCGGCCAGGTAAGGGCCGGAGCGCGGGATGGAATGATGTCGCCCGTGACTTCTCCGTCACGCCGTCACTACATTTCCACCCGGGAATGTTTGCGTCTGTGCAACCCTTGCAGCCGGGAGGGACTCGAGAGGGAAGGAAGGGCTCAGGGGTCACCGAGGCGAGTGTTTGGGATTGAAGTGTTTCTTGTCATCTTTTTGTTGTTTGTCCAACTCCTTAGTCCGTGTTTCCACCTGGGTGTGTGAGGGGACTGTCATGTGTCTAAAGCAGCACTCCGCACCTCCCCTCCCGCTCTCTGTCAAAAAAACAAAACCAGCCTGCTAATACAGTCCAAACACTCAAAAACTGGTAATTCCATTCTTGTAGCTATTCAAACAGAAGCCTTGGAGTAAACCTTGACATCGATCAATAAATCTGCTTAGCTCTAGCTGCAAAGTAAATACCCAGAGCCCGACCACTTCTCGCACATCCTGGCTGTCACTGGTGACCAAGACACCAGTCACCTTTGCCTGGATTATCACCTGCTGAGGTTTATCCTTATTCTTGAGGGAATTGGATGAGGCTAAAGGTTATCCACCCATAACAGAATCTATAACCCCATTGAGATCTGCTTTACACTTTAGAGCTAAATGGGTTCCTAAAAAAAAAAAAAAATCCTATTTGTAGCAATAAAAACACTGAGACTTGGATTCTTTGTGGTGCATAGTAAGTCATACATAATGAGTCTCACTCACTGAGCCATACTGAGTTTATCCTACTGGCAAGTGGGATTAATTATTCCTACCTTATAGAATTGTTATTGGTGATTAAATGGGATAAAAATGTGTTATATAATGGGTAGGCACTAAACCGTTATGTGTTAAGATACTGTTATTACAAATGAACAGTCTGAGGTTTACAGGTGAATTACCACCATTACTGTATATAATCTTATACATTTTAGCTTATGATATAATAAAAAGGAAAGTAGGCAAAGCTAAACTGTAATGTTTAAAGAGGCATATGTGGATAATGAAAGTACAAACAAAACGAAAGAGGTGGCTGGAAGGGGTGTGACAGTAGGGGACAAAGAGGGCTCTTGTGGTGACTCAAGGGTTTATCTCCTGATCTGGGTCATGGTTTATGTTATCTTTGCTGTATAAGAAATTATGACAAAATTTAGCAGAGTGAAATAACTATAATCACTTATTATCTCAATTTCTGTGAGTCAGGAACTTGTTCATGATTTAGCTTAGCTCAGACTTTTTCAAGTTGTAGTGAACTATGGAAAGTATGGTGGATACCAGGGGTGGGAGAGAGGAAAAGACAGGGAGGGTTATATGACAGTGTATGGGCACTGGAACTTTAGTGGCTACTGGGTATAGCAAGTGTACATATTGAGGTGTGAAGTTGTACTCCCCAAATTGCATGGTTTTATAAATGAATGGCAAATGCTGCTGGTCCAGTTGCTGAATACATAAGGGTGGTCTTTTGTTGCAGTGCACATATGCTTTCTTTGCCTGCCAAGCATCCCTTCTTTGGGACCTCAGCTCTCTGCCTTACATGAAGTTGTAGTGAGGAGTGGCAATCTCAGAACCAATACTCTTGTGGGCACAAGATGGCCAATTATAGCACTCTATGTCCCAGCAATAGGGAATGGAATGACCTAAACTCAGCAAATAAGAATCTCTTTCATTAGGAGATGTGAATATGCAGATTGCAGAGAAAAGACATTCTCTTCTTTGGAATTTCTGAGCTGAAAGTATGGAACCTGATTTGTGGGTAGCCACCTTCTCGGCCCTAGGAAGAGATCTATGAATAGTTCTATAGATTGGGCCCCCCCCCCCCCCCGGTGGCACAGCGATTGAGCGCTGGGTTGCGAAGCTGCCCGCAGCTGGTTCGATCCCCGGCCGCGGGCGAGGGTCCCACATGATGGCAGACCTCTCCTGCCACCTGCTGCTCCCCTTAGCAGTGTATTTCGTCAGTCTGCCTGTTCTGTGCTCCCCGCAGTGTGGCCTGTTCTGGCTGGCTCTGGTGAATTCTCTCACCATCCCGAGCTTCTGACTGTGCCCAGTGCTTGTATAAATAAATAAATAAATCTTAAAAAAAAAAAAATAGTTCTACAGAATGAAGACATAGAGAAAATGGACAAATGTAATGAATTTCCCACCCTTTTTCCCAAAGCTCTGATTCCTACAGCTGTTTCCTTGATGCTATGACCTAGCATTCTTCCCAGCTACATAGACTAATAAACATCGTTACTTAAGCTTGTTTGAATAGGGATTCTGTCTACTGCAGCCAAGAGTCTGGACAATTACACTGAATGAAAAAAGTATTACAGTGCTGTATAAAAATATAAAAATGTATAAAAATATACATTTTTAATGTATATCTTTCCAACTGGTGATTCAGTTGCAGGAGGATGAGACTCAAAATCAGACTGTGCATTTTAAGAAGTTCCCAGCACAATTTATATACAAATTAAAGTTTGAGATGTACTTTTCTGGATATTATATCGCTTTAATACCCAATAGTTACACGATTGTAACCATTTTGGATGAAAACTGGCCTCAAAAATGTTTCCATACAAGTGAGATGTTAACTATATTAAGTTCCAAATTAGTGGCTTGAACATAAAGTGCTATAGAGAGAGGCCTGGAGAGGTCAGGGCAGATTTTTGAGGAGAGTATCCTAGACCTAGAGGGGAGGGACATGTCTGAGGTGTGTGCAGACACCCCGAGAAGCCCCTGTAACTTCAATAAAGAATCCCAAAGAAGGCCTCCTCTGGTGACGCAGAGGTTGAGTGCTGGGCTGCGAAGCTGCCCAGCTGCCCGCAGCCTCTGCTGCGCCAGTTCGATCCCTGGCCATCAGCGAGAGTCCCACATGGCGCGCAGACCTCTCCTGCCGCAGACAGCTGCTCCCCTCAGCAGTGTATTTCCTCGGTCTGCCTGTTCTGTTCCCCGCTCTGGCACTGGTGAATTCTCCCACCCTCCCGCGCTTCAGACTGTACCCAGTGCTTGTATAAATCAATCAATCAATCAGTCAATCTTTAAAAAAAAAAAAAAGAATCCCAAAGAAAAGTCAAGGTCTGGGTTATGAGATTGCTCCTGCTAACCTTCTAAAGTGCCTGGTCCACACTATCTGCAGGGTAAAGTTTATTCGAGAACTTGAAATGGGCATGTAATGTGACCTGATGTGTTTTTAAAAAACACACTCTGGAGAGATGTAGGGGATGATTTGGGAGAGGCCAGAGGCAATGAAACCCAATAAGGAAGCTGTTGTAATGTTCAGTAGGAAAGAAATGCTCGAACTAAAGCAGTGGTCATAGCTATAGGAGAAAATGTCCATGAGAGATAATATGGAGGAAGAATTGGCAGAGGTTTATAAGGGGTCAGGAATGGGGAGATAGTAGTGACATCAATTTGGAATTATGGGGGATAAAGGACGTTTCGGGTAGAAGATAATGAATTTTTTGATGGCTGGGTTTGGGAGCTCTGCAGAGAAAAAAGATACCAAAAGGGCACTTGAATACATAGGCGAGCTCCAGAGAAAATCATGGCTGTTGATACACAAAGGTTTATTTCCAGTTTGGTAAACTTAAAAAGATTGTTGCTTTATTTGATAGATATTATTGTCGCCTGAAGCTCAACATGGCAGAAGAAGAGGACTATATGTCTGATTCCTTCATCAATGTCAAGTAAGTAAATGTGCAAACTGCATGTAAAGATAAATGGAGACATGTTGACCCTTCAGGAATGTCATTCATTTTAACTTTGAGGTTAGAAAGTTAGTCTTACTTCTTTATAGGAACACCTCCTATATGTCTATATAAAGATACTAGGAACCTCAAGCATTTTACTTGAGGAATGTCAAGCATTTTACTTTTGCCCATGATTCTCTGTATTCTACTCTTCCAAGGAAATTTACTCTTTTCCTTTATTTCATCTTATTGTCTCTTCTAGATGCTATTCAGTTTTGCTTATTGTTATTGACAGTAGCCTAGAAAAATTAGCCTAAATTTACTATTTCTAATTTCTTTTTTAAAGATTTATTTATTTATGCATACAAGAACTGGGGTACAGGCCAGAGGTATGGCAGTGGTGGGGGGGCTGTGGGTGACAGAATTCACCAGAGACAGAGCGGGGGACAGAACAGGCATTTTGACTGAAATGCACAGCTGAGGGGAGCAGCAGGTGATTCAGGAGAGGTCTGCTGTGCCATGTGGGTAGCTCCCTGGCTGAGGATTGAACGCATGCTGCAGTGGCCGCGGATAGCCCCATAGGCTATGTCTTAACCCCTTGCGCCACCAAGAAGGCCCCTCTTTCTAATTTCTTAAACTCTATGCTTTTTTTTTTTTTTTTTTTTTAAGTTTCCTACAATCTGATACAAGCCTTCATCACTTTTACTAAAATAGCCATTCTGGGTTGTCTAATATTAATGTTAACACAGATAACCAAAGAAGACGCACTAACATAATAAGTAGTATTCAGTAATAAGTGGCCATATTATGAGAACATTTCAAATAACCTTTTCCCGTGTTCATCAGGGAAGATGTCAGACCGGGATTGCCAATGCTCAGACAAATCCGAGAAGCCCGTCGGAAAGAAGAAAAGCAACAGGAAGCTAATTTGAAAAATAGACAGAAGAGTTTAAAAGAAGAAGAACAAGAAAGACGTGACATTGGGTTGAAGAATGCACTAGGCTGTGAAAACAAAGGGTTTGCTTTGCTCCAAAAAATGGGATATAAAAGTGGTCAGGCCCTTGGCAAGAGTGGTAAGTCACATCCAGAAATAAACAGCTGTTCCTAAACAGCAAAAGGTGATATTGATGAGTACCAGAGATCACTCTTTCATCTTTGTACATCGATAAAGAAATTAAAACTTCAGCTTCTTAGTCTCTTAGGTACTAACACACATTATATTTCATCTTCCCATCTCAAGCCATCAAGCTTCTAATCAGCCCAGTTCAGCCCTGAAGGCTCCAGAGGTCTGGGATGGGCGGCCCCTGCAGTGGAGGCAACAGCTAAGATTGGTGACCAGAGAAGTGTTAAGAAGCCCAATGACCAAAGGGCAGAGGAGCAGCTTTGTAGATGATGACAGGATTCTGCCCTCCTTGTTCTATGTCTGTGGCAGTTGAAAAAGCTCAATTCTGGTGAGAGGTTCACCAGAGTCAGAGCGGGGAACAGAATAGACTCAATGGAACAGCTGAGGGGAGCAGCGGGCAGGATAGGAGAGGTCTGCTGCGCCATGTGGGTATCTCCCTGGCCGTCCGGACATAGAACTCATATTGCAGAGGCTGTCATACTAGAAGTACAACTGCTTATTAAAATGTAGACACTGTATATTTGCCGCAGTTTCTGTAAGTTCTTGCTTTTTCCCTTCTCTACTGTAATTGATTTGATTTTTACCCAGTAATGCCATCATCCTTTTGGACACATAGTATCAGTGTTTCACTTCTTTAACACTTCCTTCAAATGGCATAAGAGTTTGTGAGTTAGCCCTATTAAGGATGAATATTTGAAGAAAAGGCCAATAGTTAACAATAATATTGATGTTCAGATTTCAGTTTTAAATTTTTCAAAGGGCCTCCCCTGGTGGCACAGTGGTTGAGCGCTGGGCTGTGAAGCTGCCTGCAGCCTCTGCAGCGCTGGTTCGATCCCCCAGCTACCAGCGAGGGTCCCACATGGTGGGACAGACCTCTCCTGCCGTGCCCACTGCTCCCCTCAGCAGTGTATTTCAATCAGTCTGCCTGTTCTAGTCCCTGCTCTGGCTCTGGTGAATTCTCACCCTCCCACGTTTCTGACTGTACCCAGTGCTTGTATAAATAAATCAATAAATCTTTTTAAAAAATAAATAAATAAATAGATTTTTCGAGACTGGAGGGTATATGTGAGGAACACTGTAAAGTTACATGTTATGGTTACCTATAGTCTGAGTAAGACTTTCTAAAGTAGTTTGTGTTTTCTTCTCTTTCTAGGTGATGGTATTGTCGAACCTATTCCACTCAATGTCAAAACAGGTATATGATTACTCTTTTAGCATATTACCAGTAACAATAACTTATACCTTGATCTAACATATGTGTCTGTTTAATAAATATTGTTTTTTTATGGTGGTGCTCCTGTAGGTCTTATCATAGGAAGCCTTCAGTAAAATGTTTAATTGATCTTTTAAATTGTTTAAACTCAAAAGTTTTTAATGCGTGTAAAATAAAATTTAACTAATAAAATATGGGGAGAATTATATGGCTATTAAAAATATATAGCTATTTTTGTCCATTGAAATGTTCTGAAAGTATTCTGAGACATATATGCTCACTAAATGTCTTTCTTAATACTTTGGGTAAATTCAAAAGAAAAAATACTTTATTTGTTCATCATTCTAATATGAAAGTTGATAGTTGATGCTTTTTCTTGATTTTAAGAAGTTTGTAAAGTATTATACTCTTACTAGATCAGACTAATATTCTTTGTAAACATCAAATGTATGTTTGCATTAAATAATGTTTTTTAGTGTTTTTTTCCCATCATTCTTGTCAAATGATTCTGAGTGATTACACTCAAATTAGAATTGTCTTTAATTTGTAAATATTTAAATTGTCATACTAGGAGTATAACACTAGTAAGCTTCTTATCAGAGTTTTCTATTTAAACAGGAAAAAGTGGCATTGGTCATGATACATTATTAAAACGGAAAGCTGAGGAAAAATTAGAAAACTACAGAAGAAAGATTCACATGAAAAACCAAGCTGAAGAACGAGCTGCAGAAGACTTTCGGTAAAACTTTGTATTTGAGCTATTTCGGGTTTCATCTCTTTATTGTTTTCCAGTACACAGGCATAAAAACAATAAATTGAGTCTAGACCTTTATTTTTTATTTTTTAAATATTTATTTATTTATGCATATAAGAGCTGTAGTACAGGCCAGAGATGCAGGGGGTGAGAGGACTCACCAGAGACAGAGCGGGGAACAGAACAGGCAGACTGTGCCACTCAATGGAACAGCTGAGGGGAGCAGCGGGAGGGACAGGAGAGGTCTGCTGCACCATGTGGGTATCTCCCTGGCGGGCGAGGGATCGAACTCATATTGCAGAGGCTGTGGATTGCTTCATAGTGTGGTGCTTAACGCCTTGCGCCACCAGGGAGGCCCAAGTCTAGACCTTCATTGTACAGTTTTTTTTTCTTTCAATTAGAATGCGACTTAAAACTAAGCAAGATGAAATGAAGCTGGAAGGTGACCTCAGAAGAAGCCAGCGAGCCTGTCAACAACTGGATACTCAGAAGGTAAGCCTTTTACCAGTTTTTGGTTTGGTAAAGTGTTTTGGCACACAGGAAGATTTGCCATGTATTTATACTAAAGAGAGGGTGAGAGAGACTCGCACACTCCAAGCGTGGTGTATCTAGCCTTCTGTTAGAGCTTTTATTTTGCATGTTCTACTGATCTGTGATAATTAATACAATGACTTGTTCACTGCAGGAATTTGAATAGTCTGAATTTTCCAATAAAGATTAAGTAACATGCTTGCATTTAATTATTCTCTACTTATTTGAATATTGATTTACCAGAACTAGAATATGTGGAAGTCCTGTGTATCAGAATATTTGATTAAGTGAAATAGCTTCTTTTCAGTCCATGTTAAGTACCTCATTTGTCTATAACTAGTAAAATCATGATAGAATGCTATTTCACATTTGAAGTGTTGTTAAAATTCTGGTTTTTTTTTTTTCATTTTGATGACTCAAGTACCATCAAAATAAAATGTCTTCAGTTTAAGTTTCAAGTGTGTGTAAAATTTCCTTCAATGTAAACAGAATCTAGAAGATTGCTATATATATATTCAAAATATATATATTATTGGGAATATAATATACGCACTAAACTATTTATACCCATTGCTTATTTTCTCTACTAGATTGTCAGCAACTTGGAGACAATATTCTAATTGGGTTCTGCATCCCCTAGTTCATAGTACAATGCCTGACTCCAGAAGAAGCACCCTTAATTGAAAGAATAGATTCATACTGACATGAACGTACTTGTAGATAGTCTTCTGTTTGGCTATGTTTAATTTGTAATAATTTCTACATTTTCAGAATATCCAGGTTCCCAGGGAGGCATGGTACTGGTTGAGGCTTGAAGAGGAAACTGAAAAAGAGGAAGAGGAAGAAAAAGAACAAGATGAAGACGAATATACGAGTGAAGATTTAAGTGTATGTTTTGGCACCAGTTCCTTTAGAATATCTCTGCTTTGGTACTATGAACTCTTTTGTGGGGTGCTGTCTGTGCATTCTTAGATGTCCAGCCGCATCTCTGGCCTCTACCCACCAGACGCCAGTTGCCCTTCTCCAGGTTGATAACCAAAATTGTCTCCAGATATTGACAAATGTCCCATAGGGAAAAAACCACCCCCAGCTGAGAACCACTGCATTACAGAATCATTTTATTAACCCCTAACCATAACTTGATATAATTTTTTTCTCTTTGGCTCCAGTTAACTATCTCACCTCAGTTTCAGTTTGAATGATGGATTGGATTGACTGCAAATGTAAAATGATCACAATTTCTATCTTGTTTCCTGATAAACTTCTGAAAGTGATTCTAGTGAGCATCTTTATCCCCCACCCATAAAAAAATAAAACCAAAAAATAAAGCACAGTTTGAAAGAAGTAGAGATTATCCAAGAGTGGAATATGCATTCCTTTGGTTACTTGTATAAGAATTTGGGGGGCCTCCCTGGTGGCCTAGGCGTTAAGGCTCAGCGCTATCACCAATACAGCCCGAGTTCAGTCCCTGGCCAGGGAGGTGACCCACATGGCGCAGCAGACCTCTCCTGGCTCACCTGCTTCTCCCCTCAGCAGTGTCTTTCAGATCTACCTGTTCTGCTCCCTACTCTGTCTCTGGTGAATCTCTTACCTCCCACACCTCTGGCCTACACCCCAGTTCTACACACACACACAGAGACACACACACACAAGACTTTTGTAGGAAGCATTTACAATTCGGAAAACTTATGTTTGCTTAACTGTATGTGAGACCATTATGAGAACTCTAATGGCAAAGGGAGACAATATTCACCTTCTGGGGAGGTAGAGTCCTTGAAAGTAGAAGGGATCTTTATTTTTTTTTAATGTATATTATTTTTTTCTTTTTTATTATTATTATTTAAGATTTATTTATTTTTATACAAGAGCTGGGGTACAGACCAGAGGGTGAGAGGACTCACTGGAGACAGAGTGGGAAGCAGAACAGGCGGATCTACTGAAATACACTGCTGAGGGGAGCAGCAGGCGAGACAGGAGAGGTCTGCCGTGCCATGTGGGAATCTCCCTGGCCGGCCAGGAATGGGATCCACGCTGCAGAGGCTCAGGACAGCTTCACAGCGCTGTGCTCAACCCGCTCTGCCCCGGGGAGGCCCTAGAAGGGATCTTTAAAGGATGCATTATAATAGAGCCAGCCCTAGAGAGAGAGAGAAAGAGAAAAAGAGATGTATCTATATATCTACATATATATGATCTATGTATCTACATATAGATAGATAGATAGATGACCAAGTGGTCTTTGTTGGATCTGGCAGACTTATGAAAATGTCAGGGTAGCTGGTACACTGGGACATGTTCTAAAATATTGTACCCTTCACCCCTCGCCTAAGTGATTTGAGAATAACAGAATATTTATGCTAATTCAGCATGATCTAAGAGACCAGAACACCAAGATTCTCTTCCGCGTGAACTGTTAATGTGTTTGTGTCCTATATCTAGGTCCTGGAAAAACTACAAATATTGACTAGTTACTTAAGAGAAGAACATTTGTATTGTATTTGGTGTGGGACAGCCTATGAAGGTAAGAAGATACTTTATACTTCTTTTTAAAAATATATTCTTTGATTTTTAGTGCAGGCTTTTTTTGTAAAAGTGACATCCCATAGACAATGGAAATTTCTTATTCCATCCAGTGGCAATATGGGATCAGTGTCTTAAGGAAATATTGGTTAGAGAAATAATTGAAGACTCATTAATATTGCTTTTAATTTTTGACAATTATATATGCAGAAGGAAATTTTTCAGTATTTTATTTCAAAGGAATTTTTTAATCACTTGAGAATGATGAATAGTTTCATACTTTTAAATAGCCTTTCTTTAGCTAGAGATACTTGCAATATATATTAAATTTTAGAGATACTTTTATATAGTTAGATGAACAATTTATTGCCTTGAACCATAAAAATTAAAATGTTGAAATCCATGTCATTTTTTTTTCATTGTTAAATGAAAGAAAGGGTTTGAATCTTTAAACAAGTATATTTGCAGGAGAAGGATGGTTATAACACTGGATACACTTGTTTCCCTTAACCTCAGGAGCAAAGGCAAGATTCAGACTAGGCCTCTGAGGCCAAGACTCTTGGTCTGTTTAGACCTCTGGCCTACACCCCAGTTCTACACACACACACACACACACACACACACGCGCAAGTGTGCACTGAGTCGTAATCAGAAAGATCACACTGCCTTGGTAACAGTATCCTGGCCGATTTCCTGACCTATTTCCAGTCTGTTCATCACTGTGTCAGAGAGGAAAGCACAGAAATAAACATTCTCGCTTTCAAGAGACTTACTGGTTTTCAAACCAAGCACCCCTTGGGCCCAGGAGGGGATTCGCAACTTACCAAATGTCTCACAGAGCCAGGTTCTTTCCCTTTTAACACATTTGCCCAAGGTGGCTTTGCTTACTTGAATTTAAGGACTTTGTATTTGAGAGTAAAGAATTTGGAGTTAATTGTTGTTTTTATCTTCTCCTGTTTTTTTTTTTTTTTTCAGCACATTAAGTACCATACATAACAGATCAAAAATACATGTTGAAATAATTTTCTAGGATAGAGCACTATACATGTTTTATTAATCTTTTACTTTCCCCATATATGTTACAGATAAAGAAGACTTGTCTTCAAATTGTCCAGGACCCACGTCTGCAGATCACGATGACTGAGATTATTCTCAATAAAGCCGAAACTTAAAAAATATTGTCTCCTAAAGATCCTTGAGCATTTAAAATTCGCAATTTTTGGTGCCAGTATGAAAAAAGAGCCTTTATGTCTCATTCTTTTTGTACTTGAGAAGTTTTTGTATGTACTTTAGGATGTAATTGTTCAGTGACTTCAAAAAAATAATGGGATGTGCTTTCAGAACACAAGTATCACAGACATGGGCAGTTACAGTGTATGGCTCTGTTGTGATGCTTGTGGGGTTTGAGAACACTGACAGCTAACAATTACTCCCCTCTTCATTTTGGAACGAATTGATGAATAAGACGGGAGTCACAGAGAGAACAAAGTATTAACTTAAATCATCAGAGAAGCTGAAATGTAAGGGTGACTTGTTCTGAATCAGGTTCTCTAATAAATCTTACTGATTGGAGAGTGCTCCAGACTGCCTTGTGGGGGCAAAACTCATCTATGCCTTGAGACCACTTAACTCCCAAGGTTAAAGAACCCACCACGAGCTGGGCCACAAGTGTTCAGTTCCTTGTCCCAAAATCACCCATCAGATAAGTCACCTTTTTATGGACAGGGAATGAATGAATGAAAGTACAAGGAGCTTGCACCCACACTTAACCTTTCCCAACATGTGAGAAGAAGTACCCTCCATGCAAGCATGAGGAGGGGAAGGGCATTCCCCTTAAGTCTGATATCAGAGTCAAAGTTCATTAGCACTACTTTTTTAGAGACAAAATACTTCTAATAAAACAGTTTTCATGGCAATGTGTATATTCATTGTAAGTGATGCACTGCAAATTTTGGGTAAAAACTCAAGAATTGGGGGCCTCCCCGGTGGCGCAGCTGTTGAGCGCTGGGTTGCGAAGCTGCCTGCAGCCTCTGCAGCGCCAGTTCGATTCCCGGCTGCTCCCCGACCCCCAGAGGAGGGTCCCACATGGCACGCAGACCTCTCCTGCCGCCCGCTGCTCCCCTCAGCAGTGTACTTCAGTCCTTCTGCCTGCTCTGCTCCCCACTCTGGCTCTGGTGAAATCTCTCACCCTCCCATGCTTCTGACTGTACCCAGTGCTTGTATAAATAAATAAATAAATCTTTAAAAAAAAAAAAAAAAAAAAACTCAAGAATTGGGAGTAATCTTAAATATATGACTCGTGCTTACTGAATTTGCAAACCCCTGGACATTTTGATGAATATAAATATATATATTGGTATATAAATATTGGAGTTTATATTGTTGGTTACTATTGTTTTGTATTCACTTTTTTGTTCAAAAAATAATAAAATCATATTAATGACAGAAACAAAGGAGTACATCTTTCCCTTGGAATTACAGCTAAATCCTTTCCTGTCATTTCTACCACCACATAGACATTCAGTCTGTCAGGTCTAATGCCATGTGGATTGTTCTGGACAAAAAGGAACTAGGAACTAGTTTTTCTTTCTCCTCTGACAACCCACCACTCGCCCCATGGCTTAGAATATTTTGAATACACTGATGAACAATTATGCTGATAATGTGGGAATAACTATTCATCTAGGCCTCATAAGTAAAAAGTAATAAAAACCAAGGAAGCCGAACATTGAAAATTTTTTTAATTGCATTAGAATATTTGCATGTAATTTGAAACCTAATTTTTAAAATGTCACATTGCCATTTACTTTTGTTTATATTGTGTTATGTTTATTTCTATAGCTAGAAGTTTAAAAATTTATTTTCTTAAATACTGGAGCTTCTAAAATTCAAAATAAAGGGCCTCCCCTGGTGGCACAGCGGTTGAGCACTGGGTTGCGAGGCTGTCTGCAGCCTCTGCAGCGCCAGTTCAATCCCTGGCCACTGGCGAGGGTCCCAAAAAAAAAAAAAAAAAAAAAGATAAAATTCAAAATAAAGACAATGTATCAAATTGTTTTAGTCACACATCTTTAAGTGTGTTTGCCAAATATTTAACTGTTGAACTTTGAAAGTGAGCATTATTTTTACTTAAATTTTACATACAAAATTCTTAACACTGAACATAACTTTGCCATGCAAAGGTACAAGGAAGGAGTTACAACATGACCCAACATTTCTACTCCCAGGTATTACACCCAAGAGAAAAGGAAACATGTCCATATGAAATTTGAACATAAAAATTCAGTCACATTCATAAAAATGTGGAAACATGTTCATCACTGATAAGTAAAATGTGATAGTCGTATAATACAATTATTTGGCAATAAAATGGAGTGAAGTACAGATCCATGTTACAACACAGATGAAACTTGAAAACACAGTAATTAAAAAGAGCACATATTGCATGATTTCCTTTAAATGGAGTGTCCAGAATCGATAACTCTAGAATAGAAAGTGGATTTGTGGTTGCCTAGACTTTGGGGATGATAAGGAATGACACGATTTTTTTTTGGGGGGTGGTGTGTACAAAAATGTGTTAAAATTGGTTGTGCTGATAGCTGCACAACTCTGAATATATAAACACCATTGGTTCATATACTTTGAATGGATGTGAATGATATCACAATAACGCTATTATAAAAAACGATTTGAAGGGAATTTCAGGTAGAAACTCTGGCAGAGAGCCATCAAGCTTTCTCAGCAGACCTGTGGCGGGGGTTTATTTAAGAGTTCTTGAACACGGTGTGCTCCAGAGAGGTGTACTGACACCTTGACTGGTGGTGACCCAGTAGAATCCATTTCAGACTTCTAGCTCCAGACACACACAGAGTCAATGTGTATTGTTTTAAGCCACTAATTTTGTGGCAATTTGTTACAGCAGAAAATGAGCTCACTCCTTCCAGAATGACTAATTTCAGCGTTTAACTACTGACTACATCAGAGTCTTAAAGTGTCTTGTTAAAATAAATACAAAATGTATTTAAGAATAACTAGACAGTAAACAGTAATGGCCTCAATCTTCATTTTACGTTAAAAAAGTTAACTGTTACCTTTAAGTCCATCTCCCCAATCATATTGCTCCTGTCCCTCTTCAGAGATAACCCCCAGGAATTACTACAGGTATATGTCACATATTGACGTTCCAGTCAGACACTGACCACATGTCCAAGAGGGCTCTGTATATACAGTCTAGGTGTGCAGCAGGTTCATACATTAACAAAATCACCTAACAACGCATTTCTCAAGACACCTCCCTGGTAAGCGACCCATGATTGTAGTTCTCATTCCCTTCCCTCCCATTATTTTAGTACAACTGTTTGGATTCCTAAACAAAATTTTTTCATGTAGCATGTTGCAGAACTTGATATGAATGGGATTGTTCTGTATGTATTTCTGCAATATGCTTTGTTTGTGTAACGTTCCGAGAGGTGTATCATGATACTGTATTTAGCTGTACTTCACTCACTGTCACAGCTCTATTGTATGCTAAGTTGAAAATGTAGTACAATTTCTGTTTTTCTTGTGATAGACATTAATATTGTTTCCTTTTCTTTTGGCTATAGAAACGGGTCTATGAACCTTCTTGGTAGGCAGGCATGCAAAATGGAATTTACGGCTTTCAGTTTAAATGTACACATTTAACATCATTAGGTGATATCACAGTGTTTGCCAAAATGACTGCACATAACTCTCTTTCGAGGGTACATTATGTCTCCTGACTTGCTAGCTATTTAATACACAATATCATCTATTTTTTGGTCCAGAAACAGTAGACCTTTAATAAATATTTATTAATCAATTCATTTATCAATTGATTTAAAAATAAAATTTCAGGCACTATTTTCCATTTTCATCATAAGGATAATTAGTTAAAAAATGTAAGGATGTCTTTGAAGTAAAAGAATGCAAACATTTCCACAAATGCAGAAAAAAAGAGAAATGAAAACAGAAGATGAATTCCACTGATATTCCCTAGTAAATTTTAGTGCCAGAAAAATATTAAAGGGGAGGTACTTTTTCAGAAAGGCGCTACCATGTTTTTAGTTTTCTTTCCTCTGAAGCACCTATCCACTCCTTCAAAGTGTGCAGTATTTCATATGTCTTAGGTCGTTTCACGGGTTCATGCGAGAGTAGTTTCTGTAGAAGATTTTTCTGTAATAATAGTAAGAGTCAATACTAAGTAATGATACATTGAAATAAATAAAATTCTGATGATTTTCAAGTACTTACTTCTTTGTCATCAAATACATCTGGGATGCTGCCGGCCCTTAGTTCTTTAAAAAACTGAAAATAAAACAGTACACATATATATCCATTAGGAAATTATTCATTTGGGAAGAAAAACAAAATTAGAAGCATTATCACTCTGGGATATTTCTAGATCTTCGGAAAGACTCTTTAGCTAGGAAGCAGCAGAAGACCTCTCTCTCACTCCATCCCATCTAATAACCATCCTGAACACAACAACATGAAGTGTTAAAAGCATCATATGTGTTATCTCCCTGCACCCTTTTTGGAAGCCTATGTATTTTGTATTCCTGTTTTACAGAAGAGAAGGCTATTGACTCTAGGTTAGTCTCCTTCACTGAGTTTCTGACCGGGATGTCTACTTGCCTAATTAGATGCCCTGCTGCTTCCACAGGACAGTCATTATTCTTTCCTTACCTCAAAGTGTCTTTCCAGCCCCATCAACCACTACTTTCTTGTAAGTCACATAGTGCTGCCTGCTAGCCCCAAAACATTCTGCACATTCCTATCTTCACATTCGAATCGCTGTCTATTTTTGACTCTTAGAAGTGAATTGATCATTCTGAGCCCAACTTAAATGCCTCTCTGAAACCTAAATCCATGCAGCTAATAAGATGTCCCTCCTACTTGCTTCCATACGATCTCATGCCTTCTCCTGCAACATCTATACCATTTTCTAATATTGTCTTTCCTTCTAGACTATAAGCTCATTGAGAAAAGACTTATTTGTTTTTATAACCCTCTAGCACTTAGCAGTGTCTTAAGCAAAGGAGGCTATGCATTAAATCTTCCATATTGACTCAAATAGCAAACAATAGCTATAGTTTTATGAGATAAACAAGAAGATCTAAATTTATATCCTACAACAGAGGACAACAACATCCTACAACAAATTTATATCCTACAACAGAGTATGTCTGTGATCAAGACCTGTGGAGTCTGAATGGCCATTTAAAATTTAGTTGCTCAAATTTGAAAGAGATGAAATCTATATTTAACTTGCAGCAATATAAGTATGTTCCAGCCCATGCTCACATGAGTGCAATTGTCTGCAGCAGCACTTTGGAGCGGATGGCTGATCATTTCTATTGCTTAATTTTTTTGTAAGATTTTTTTACCTTAGATGTTTCTAAAGCAGTGGCACATATGTGAAGAAGTTCTGCAAGAATTAGCCCCAAAGTAAAGAGGTCCACTTCGTTTCCGTAATTTGTGGAAGATGTCTAAAGAGACAAAAATAAGAATACCTGATATAAAAGTCCTCTGAAGTGGGAGCACAAGGAGTTAAGTTTCAGCACTATGAAGCTATCTGCAGCCACTGCAGCACAAATTCAATCCCTGGTCAGGGAGCTACCCACATGGTGCAGCAGATCTCTCTTGTCTCGCCAGCTGCTCCCCTCAGCAGTGTATTTCAGTAGATCTGCCTGTTCTGCTCCCCAATGTGTCTCTGGTAAATCCTCTCACCCCCCAATCTCTGGCCTGTAGCCCAGTTCTTGTATGCATAAATAAATAAAATAAATCTTTCTTTAAAAAAAGTACTCTGAAGCCAAAAATGTTATTTGACCAAATGATCAAGACCTTAGGAGTTTTCATTAGCCAGGTTCAAATCTCTGTTACTAACTAGCTAAATCACCTGTGTAAATTAACTACTGATCTCATCTACAAAACGGGGATGACAATAATTTAAACCTCAGAGTTTGATTATGAGGATACGTGAGATGCAGCAGGTGGTGCAGTGAAAATACTGCCCAGTGAGTAACTTGTACACAAATGTTCATGGAAGATTTATTCATAATATTCCATAAATGGAAGCAATCCAAAAGTCCATCAACAGCTGAATGAATAAATTGTGGTATATTCACACAACTGAATATACCACACAATTGTGGTATATTCACACAACTGGTATATTCACATCCCCCCCCCCAAAAAGCGGGGGGAGGGAATAATTTGCAGGTGCCAGCATCAGCTAGAGGTTCTCCAGTAGAGTGAAATAACCAAACACAGAAGAGTACCTACTGTAGGATCCCATTTATAAAGCAGTGAGGAAGGACTCACTGGAAAGGGGCCTGAAGGAATTTTGGGGGTGTGTGTGAAAAAAAGTTCTACATTTTCATTGATGTATGTGTTCACAGGTATATGTTTTTGTCAAAATTAAAAAATGTACATTTAAGACTTGTGCATCTTATAGCATATAAACTATTCCTTCATAAAATGTTTTTGAAGAAAAAAAATCACTAAGGAAATGAAAATCATATTGATAAATAATTTTGTAAAATATAGCTGAGGGTGACAATGCAGGATACAGGGTTTCTTTAATAAAATAGGAGGTAAAGGGATGTTTTTTCTTAGTCTTCTCCTTGCACACCCCCAAAAAGCATAAGTTATGATTCAATATAAATGAAAGAGGTGGGTTCCTTGTCCATTGCAGACTCTCAACTCACCAGACAGTTCAGTATATTTACCCTTGGGTAACAAAATAGTAGAAGTATTTTGAAAGATATTTTATCGGTGAAAATCACTTTTAAAGAGCATTTATAAATCAAAGTAAAACAGGATGACCAACCCCAAAAGATGCAAATTGACACTAAGCTATCAACCAATAAAATAAAATCTATTAGGCTAATGAGTCTTTCTAGGGAAGTCTCAGACATATAAAGATGTCAATTCTTAACTGGATTCTTAAATTTAATGCAAAACCTCAACACCAATTATAGAACTTGATAAGTTGATTTGTAGTTTATCTGCAATATTAATGGTGAACACTAAGAACGTCTTAAAGTAGAAGAGTAACACAGAAAGTCCTGCTATTCAAACACTAGACCTATTTTATAATACTATGATAAAACTGTACTAACAAAAGTATGCTATTTAACAGAAAAAGTAAAATAAATCAATTAAAAGAAAATACAGAAACAGATCCATGAGTTTGTGAGAATTTCCTATATAATAAAAGATACAATTTTTATTATATATAACATAAATATAACATATATAACATATTATATATAACATATATAACTACATATAACATCACATTTTACCATTTTTATTTGTACAATTCATTGGCATGAAATACCTTCACAGTGTAACCATTGCCTATCTCCAGAACAGAAAGTATACCAATTAAATAGTAAGTTCCTGCTCCTCGCTCCCTCAGGCCCTGGTAATGTGTTTTACTTTTTGTCCCTATGAATTTTCCTTAAAATAGTATTTTTTTAAGGCCTCCCCAGTGGCTCAGCGGTTGAGCGATGGGTTGCGAAGCTGCCCGCAGCCTCTGCAGCACTGGTTCAATCCCCAGCCACCGGGTGAGGGTCCCACATGGCGCGCAGACCTCTCCTGCCGACCCACTGCTCCCCTCAGCAATGTACTTCATTTGTCTGCCTGTTCTGCTCTCCACTCTGGCTCTGGTGAATTCTCTCACCCTCCCGTGCTTCTGACTTTACCCAGTGCTTATATAAATAAATCTTTTTAAAAATAATATATTTTTAAAAGATTTATTTATTTATGCATACAATAACTGGGGTACAGGCAGAATGACTGAAATACACTGCTGAGGGGAGCAGCGGGCGAGACAGGAGAGGTCTGCTGCTCCATGTGGGTTGCTCCCTGGCCAACTGGGGATTGAACTTGTGCTGCAGTGGCTGCAGATAGCTTCACAGGTTGCATCTTATGCCCCTTGTGCCGCCAGGGAAGCCCCTAAAATATTATTTTAAATCATGAACTATTTGGGGGCCTCCCTGGTGGCGCAGCGGTTGAGTGTTGGGCTGCGAAGCTGCCTGCAGCCTCTGCAGCGCCAGTTCGATCCCCGGCTGCTGGAGAGGGTACCACATGACCCACAGACCTCTCCTGCTGCGCCCTTTGCTCCCCTCAGCAGTGTATTTCCTCAGTCTGTCTGTGTTGAATTCTCTCACCCTCCCGCACTTCTGACTGTATCCAGTGCTTGTATAAATAAATAAATAAATCTTTAAAAAAATAAATAAATCATGAGCTATTTGATATGTGGTGATACAATCCCATATATCCATACAAGGAAAGTCAAGTTATAACCCTTCCTTATATGTATTAAAGATTCACACACATTAAAGTATTGGAAAAACACAAAATACTATTTATAATCCAAAATATTTAAAAGGAGAAACCCAGTAGTCACAAATAAAATACTGATAAATGAACAACTTAAAAGTTTTTATGTCACAATATACAAAAAGAAGTAAGTAACAAGTGAGGAAATTCTGTAATACAGTTAACAGATACAGAATTAATATCCAAAATATAAAGATTCCTTACAAATAAATCAGAAAATATAGCCTACTTTAAAAAATGAAGAGAAGATGCAGAGAATATGTAGAAAAATCATACATAAATACATGTAAAGAAGGTCTAACTTTACAAAAATCTAGAAAATGCTAACTAAAACAGCAAGATATGGCCCATTTATCACACTGACCAAAACTTTAATCTGATAGTACTAATTATTTGTAAATATAAAAAACTGGAAAAATCTAAGTAGCCATTAATAAGGGAATAGTTAAAGAAATGATGGCACGTCTATATTTTGCCATACTAAAAAGATGTGAAAAAAAAGGTGTCATATCCATTTATATTGATAAAGAAAGATGATGAAACATTTTTGCGTGAAAAAAAAAACAAGTCACAAAATAACATTATAGTGTCCTTACAAAAATGTACGTATGTATATTTTTATGTAAAATAAGCCTAAGTATATACTTGTATATTTGCATCTAATATGTTTACATCTCAAGAAAATGACCTAAAAAGTGAGTAGTAGAAAAGGAAGAGTAATAGGAAACTTCTACTTTTATTCTATGTATTTCTGTACTGTTTTAAATTTCATAGGAGTTGTCTACTATTTTTATAATTAAACAAAGTGGAAGAAATAAGCAAAATACACACAGAGGGAAGGTGCACTCACCTGCTCTGGACTCATGTACCTTTCAGTTCCTCTTTCACCTGTTCGAAGCCCATCATTTTTCAGGGATGTCACAAGTCCAAAGTCTCCAATCTTTATTTGTCTTTCATCTACTAAAAATATGTTACTTGGCTATGGAAAACAAACAATGTTTAATTTATCAGTACCAATATTGTTATCACATATCCAAATCATAATTAGCATCAGCTCTTAGATATTCACAAGGCATTTACTCTGACACAGGTAGTCCAAAACAGGATATTTAATAGTACATATCATAAGTATATATCACATATATACTTAAATTATTTTTATTAAGGTAACATTAGATTATAACATATTCACACCTCTTTGTCACCACAGGGCACCCATCACTAAAGCACCCATAATCCACCACCACAGTCTGTTGCTCCTCGTCCCAGCCTTCAGTGGTAACATCAATTCTACAGTCAGATTTCTAGGGTTCATTTTGGTTAATTTTGTCTGTTCATCTTGTTTTCTTTAATTCTACATAGAAGTGAAATCATCTGGTCACAGGTCTTTAAAATGCCAGCTGCGAAAGCAGGAACTTGAGCTGATATTTGAGCAGATATTTGAAGGTAAAACTCACATATCTGAAGGTTGTTAGGTAAAAGGTGGATTTGTTCTGCACAGACCCAGGGGATGGATCCAGAGATGTGTTTTCACTATTTCCTAACATAGTGTGGTTCACAGCATGAAAATTTGAGAGTTCCCCATCTCAGGAAGAGATGGGGTCAGACACCTACGTGGTGAAAGTGTTGCAAATATGGCCGCAAGATTTGATGAAGATTTAAGTTGATACTCTTAAGGTCCCTTCAAATTTTGAGATTCTCTCAGCTTCCTCAAATTAACCGAGATTAATCCAATGATGTTGCAGGATACCCTTGGCAGAAATTCTCTCGGGGGCTTTATGTGAGAGCTCTGACAACTTCTTCACAAACATACCCCCTCTATCCTTGAAGACAGGCCAACGGAGCCTGATGCTTCTAAGTAATACTGAAATACTTTTTCCATGTAATTCTTGAAGCAGATTTTTTAAAGTGAGGAAGAACAGAATGAGGGGTATTTATCCTAGTCTACAGCTTTGTGGAAGGTATTGATCAACACTCTAAGGACCAAAAAGACAGGCAGATTGTTGATGAGGAAAGTTAACATTTTGTCATTCTTGAAAATGCTATTTTCGGGCCTCCCCGGTGGCGCAGCAGTTGAGCGCTGGGTTGCGAAGCTTCCTGCAGCCTCTGCAGCGCCAGTTCGATCCCCGGCCACCGAGCGAGGGTCACACATGGTGCGCAGACCTCTCCTGCCGCCCGCTGCTCCCCTCAGCAGTGTATTTCATCAGTCTGCCTGCTCTGCTCTCCCCTCTGGCTCTGGTGAATTCTCGCACTCTAGAGGGTTCACCCAGTGCTTGTATAAATAAATAAAAATAAATCTTTTTAAAAAAATGCTATTTTCAAAACAATGTGGAGCTGAACAGTCACACGCAGACTCTATGAACGGACACTTCTGAGAGGTCATACGAATGGAACTGCGAGGGCAGTGACCACCAACCACAGAATACAGAAAGAAGAGCTTCCAAGATGCCAACCTGAGAGCTGTGCAGGAATGAGCAGTTAGATTAGAACAGTGAACAGTTAGATTGGAACGTGATGCTAATAACACAAGAGGAAATTTATAGGTGTGTGTGGGGGGTGGGCGTGGAGCAAAAATGAACTTCTGCTATATTCTATATTCAAGTGTAGGAATAGGTCAGGTTCACAAATCCCATTAATCTCCCCACACAAAGCTATAACCTGAATCACATTTATGATATTGTCTAAACATATAAGCTGGGTGGAACTGTTTATAGTTCATTAAACTGTATCAGGTCACTTGTTTATAGTTCAATGAAAAGGAAAAAAAGAGTGCTTCATTTTGTCTAATAAGCTATGAACAATTAAACAAAATGGAGGGTGGTAGAGCATTTTTGACAGGGCGCAAACTTTATATGGAAGGCACAGACCACAGGCTGAGGCTCAGGCTGAGGCTAATCAAAGAGCCTGAACCTGCTCAGACAGTAAGCCCTCACTCTAGAAACCTCACCAGCATCTTTGGTGTAGTTCTTAAAAGTCCAACAGAGAGTGATAAACACTGGTAGACTTTATATAACAGAGGCTTAATGGGTGGCAAAGTCACTTATAGCTGGTATTTTGCAAAACACACAAAAAGTGCACATCTTCCTTTGTACGCTCAGATTCAAGAAAGCAATGAAGCAAAAAATGCCAGACGAAAGGTGACTCGGTAGTAGTAAAGTCTGAGCACTGAGGGAGTGGAGACATAGAGCAAGAATTCTCTGCACTCAGCTACAAGGAAAGGTCATCCAGGTTACAAGGCACAGGCAGGATGGGAATGCCGGAGACAACTGAGGGATGAGCTGGGAGGAGAAAGAGGAATCCCTGGGCCCAGTAAGAATCGCACTAATTCATCCTGAGGACATGCAAATTAATACCCAAACTTCTGTATTTATTTGTAATTTACTGTCTAAATAGCAAATTGTGCTTAATTTCTTATTTAAATGTCTATTTTGATGTGAGGTTGATTTCAAAATGAAGGTAGAAGCATTCTAAATGTATTCTTTTGAACACAGTTATAATAATGCAACTTCAAAGAACTTCAGATGTTATTAGAGAGAAATTGGAAGAGGGCAGCTCCTAGACAAACCTGAGCAGCAGCAGAAGTAGGGACAGAGCCATCGGAGGGCTGTGCCACAGTGATTCTTTGCTCAGAAATGCTCCATCTACTAGAGCTCTTAGTGCTTGTAACCAGGCATGAAAATCAGCCAAAGAGAATCAGAAGTGAACGAGCTCAGTGTCTCAGTAACTTCACTAGTCCTGGGGACCTTCTGAGTGGTTCTATGGAACAGTATTTGGAGCAAGTTCTAGATCCATTCTAACCTCAGAGAGTCAGAGATTCTCATACTTCCTTCAATTTCAAAACTAGAAAACACAGACTTAAAAATTACTCAATTATATTTTTTTATTCCTAACAAAATACACTCTCCACTTACCTTAAGGTCTCTATGAATAAATCCTTTTGTATGTATATAATCCACTCCTGTTGTTATTTGTCTAAAGAATTCCAAAACTAAAGCTTTGTCTGGTTCCTTGCCTCTTCTTCCATCAATCCAGTGCTCCAATGTCCCTTGACCACAGAATTCCATTTTGATGAAAAGGCACTTAATTCTTGGTCTGTGCATAAACTTCATACTTTGTTAGAAGAAGCAACAGAAACAAATTTATTTTAAAAATTGAATTTCTTTTTTTTCAATTATAACTTATCTATAGGAACATGAGAAATCTAAACTTTGTAATTTTTTATGATCATGAATGATAACTAGACCTGTTATAATGATCCCCTTGCAGTGTATTCAAATATTGACTCAAAATGTTGTATATCTGAAACTAACATAATGTCAACTACACCTCCATAACTAACTAAAGGACTGTTATCTACTACTATAATTTTGCTACTCAAATTTCTCAAGATTGGCCAATGAGTCTCTTCATATTAGTTCTTACATCTTTTAGCTATATTTCCATTACTCTTTGAACAATTACCTATCTTCTAGCACAAGAAGATGTCCCAGGACCATTTTTTTACTTTTTTTTTAAAAAGATATTATTTTAGTTATACTAGAACCAGGGAACAGGCCAGAGATGGGGGGGGGGTGAGAGGATTCACCAGAGACAGAGCGGGGAACAGAACAGGCAGACTGGCTGAAATACACTGCTGAGGGGAGCAGCAGGCGAGACAGGAGAGGTCTCCATGGCTGGCCGGCGGGGACTGAACTGGCACTGCAGAGGCTGTGGACTGCTCTACAGCACTGCGCTCAACTGCCTGTGCCACCAGGGAGGCCCCATTTTCTACTTTTTCTCTTATACTAATTCCAAGCTGCAGTCAAAATAATAAACCACTTTTATTTAAATATAAGTTCCCAGGTATCTATAGCTTTATTTGTTTAGCTAATTTGTAAACTATGAGCCTACCCTTTATTTAATGAAGAATTAGCACCTTTGCTAAAAAGAAACTTCTCTGAAGAGGAAATGCAAATGGCCAACAGACATATGAAAAAATGTTCAACATCACTTGTCATCAGGGAAATGCAAATCAAAACTACCATGAGACACCATCTTACACCAGTGAGAATGGCACATATTAAAAAAACTAGCAACAACAAATGTTGGCGAGGGTGTGGAGAAAAAGGAACTCTCCTGCACTGCTGGTGGGAGTGCAAACTGGTCCAACCACTATGGAGAGCTGTGTGGAGATTTCTGGACCTACTAAACATAGAGCTTCCATATGATCCAGCAATTCCACTCCTAGGTATTTATCCAAAGGACACAGAAACATCAATTCCAAAGAACACCTGCACCCCTATGTTTATAGCAGCACTATTTACAATAGCTAAGCTTTGGAAACAGCCCAAATGCCCAAAAATAGATGACTGGATCAAGAAGATGTGGTACATATACACCATGGAACATTACTCAGCATTCAAAAAAGATAAACACATGCAATTTGCAGCAACATGGATGGCGCTGGAAGGGATCATGTTCAGCGAAATAAGCCAAAAAGAAAAAGAAAAATACCGGATGGTCTCACTCATAGCAGGAATCTAGAAAACTTAAATAAGGGATCAGGAAAATGAATAACTATAAGAAAGTGAAAATCAAAATCAACAAAAAACTATGAACCAGAGACACTTTTTGGGGGGTGGGGGCCGAGATGGGAGGGATTGGGGTCAGAATGGGGCATGTGCAGTTGTATGGGGGAATATAAAAATAAAATTTATTATTAAAAAAAAAAAAGAAAAAAAAAGAATTAGCACCTTTGCTAACAGGTAAGAACAGAAGCACTGATACAATGAATTTCAGAAAACCAAATTTCATTACTATATGAAGGAATTTTGAAGTATTTTAATTTATCATCAATCTACTGAGCCTCTATTTCGTGAAAGACACAGGATAGGTATGCAAATGAGGTGAACACATAATAAGATAGATACACCTTTATCTTCTTTGTGGGAATAATAGTTTAATAGGAGAAAGATAAAGGAAAAGCAAAAGCTACATAATGATATAAGCACAGCTTTAAAGCAAAAGTGTCTAAGAAAAGTATCAAGGAGCTACTACAAGATATAACCTGGAGGGCTGATTTTTCTGCCATGATTTATTTATTTTTTTCCTAAACTAAGTTGGCCTCAATGCTAATTTATATTCTTTGAACATAGGTTGGTTAGAAAATGGCAGAGGTAGCCAAGAATTTGCTGAAATTTGCAGAAATTCCATACACTGATGATCAATGATTCTGAACTGAAAAAAAATTAAGAAGCTGTCAATTACATGGGATGGAGATGGGGCTGAAGAGCCAATGAATGAGTAAGGACCTCCATGGCCTCAAGATTTTAGTGAAGACTGTCCCAAGAAATGCTGGGTGCATTTGCCAAAGGACTAGAGCATGCTAAAGAGATGGGAGGTGCCTTTGGAAGCAGGTTTAGAGCAAGGAGAGGAGCATAAAAAGATTATTCATTGTCTCCTAAGCTGCAGAAGGGAGATACACGTTCTGTGTTTGTGGCTATGATCATTAAATGTACTGATGAATGGTCTTATCCGGTAATAAATAACACTTTCCTCTATCCTATTATAACTATGAAAATTTTTTAGTTACCTTGAATCATTTATGCTATTCTCAGTATAATAATCATATCCAGCCCAACAATCATAGTAATGAACAATATTTGGATGATCAAATGTTGCCAAAGCTTGCACCTCGCGCTCCACCTCCCTAGTTAAAAGAAACAGGGAACAAGAAAATGTCAGTATACATCCCAGATAACAACAATAAAACACCTCAAAGTAACAGGAGGTAACTATCTACATAGTCTCCTATTTAGCGGTCACCAGGGTTCCCACATCCTGAGTTTTAGTATGGATGCCAGGACACTCAAAAGGAAAAAGTATACAGAAAAGACGTAACATAACAAATTGGGGCACATATGACTTAAAAAATCAGACAATTTAAAAGTCATTTGGAGTAGACTTTGAAATGCCAGCGATGCATTTTTAGTAGCTAATTCATACATTATGTTTCGTGTACACTTGTGTTAATAGTATTTGGTTTTCATATGCAAACCCCATTTGGGTAGCAAGAGTAGGCAGCCCTGGCATGAAGAATCTAATTCAGAATTTTCAAAGCATGGCAGAAACACACAAAGGGGGCGATATGCAGACAAACTGAGGCCTTGCTGCATGGTGAGGTAGCTTGCAGCGTGAGCAGGCAGGAGTTCAGCCAATTCTATGCTAAATGGAGTAAATAAATTTGAGATCAAGGATGAGACAGGTAAAGAAAACATTTTACAATTTTCATTTTGCAATTTAAAAGTTCTATAACTATATGACTTAAAATTTGTAAAAATAAGGAAAAAATTACTCATACATCAACAATTCCCAATGAGCAATTTTGGATTATTTCCTATGATCTTTCTTCATAAGCCTTGTTAGACATTTGTTTTATAGTATATTCTTTTCATCTTGTTTTCTTATATAACATGTTGATTTTACAGATTGTGAAACAACAAGGAAAAGTATAGAGATAACACAGTCAAGACTTATGAACATGTGACTTAAGACCTTCCTAAGTGTTTTCCCTCTAGAAGAAATTCAGCTACCTAGTAAGGTGGGGAGGCAGGCAGATCATACATAAAACAAAAAGGGGACGCATGGAATACAGAGTGACTGCCAACAGACTGGCACGGATGAATTCTAAATCTCCACCTGCAGAGTGTCCAACAATAATGATCATGAATTCGTTCCCTCCCTATACACACATCCACTCCTCAAATTAAGCAGTAGTCTGTCTGCCCTCCTCTCAAATTGGAGCAGCCTTAGTGATTTGTTGAACCAATACAATGTGCAATTTTCAAGCCTAGATCAAAAGTAGCCTTTGCTGCTCCCTCTTGGTCTCTTTGATGATTTGCTCTGGGGATAATGGTTCTTACATCCCAGCCACTAATTCACCAGAAGCCCGACCACCTAAAAGGGCCATGTGAAAGCACTTTGGTTAACAATCTCTGCTTGGCTTCTCACCCACAGCCAGCATCAGGTGCTGACCATGTGAGAAACCTAGCTACATGTCCAGCCATGCCCAACTTTCAGATGACTATCGACTGCAAATGCATGAGAGACCCCAAGTGGGAAATGCTCTGATGAGTATAGTCAACTCCTAGGACTATGAGACATAATAACTTGCTTTGAAGCCACTATTTGTTGGCGTGATTTATTATATAATAATAGACAGGAACAAATGAGCTTGAACATTAGACAAATTAGTTCATCTTTGGATCTGTTTCTTCACCTTTAAAATGAAGTAAAGCTGAAAAAAATCCCAAAGGTCACTTTAAATCAAGTGATTCTACAACTTCAATGTCCACAAGAAAACCTCCCAAGTATAATCAGTGATGTATCCATTTTTTATTGAAATAACTGCAGTAAAGAGGGATCGTTTCAGAGTAAGTCAAATAGCAGGTGGCAGAATGAGATTTTTAAGAAGGAATAGAAAAAAGTAAATAATATAATGATTATAAAAATACAATGAAGAAGAGAGATACATAAAAAAGAATAGTGAAAGTTCAACTTTTTATTTAAAAAAAAACAAATTACCACTTACCAACAATCATATTTAACACGTTTAACAGCATAAATCTTGCCATCAATTTTATGTCTTGCTTTGAAAACTTGGCTATATGCACCTGAGCCAATGTGTTCTATATCTTTAAAAGAGTCAGCAAACCTTAATAAAAGATAAATGACACTGTTATTGTGAGGTTTAATGCTCATGCTTCCAGCCACCCTCTATTTTCTCTGAACACTTTTTGTGAAATAGCCTGGACAACAAATATGACTGTCCCCTTCTGAGTGAGAAGGGTTCACTTCACAGAAACTCTTAAATCACAAAAGATATTTCCTTCCCAAGGTGGGGATGGGGGTAAGGAGGAGGGAGGGATAATAGTCAACTCCAGGCTGTACAAAGCCATGAGAAACAATATTATGCCAACTACAGCATTTTAGAAAGAAGTGCCATAATAGACTCCATGCTGTCATTAGAGAAAAGTACACGCATGGAGCCTGCCTCATTTATAGCTGCCTGCCTTTCCCCTCTCCTTCATGTGCCACAATCCATGCCTCAGTCCTGCCAGTTCTACTTCTGAAATGTAGTGGCAGAATCTGCCCACTTTTTTCCACTTCCAACATCTTCACACCAGTTGCAACTTGCATCAGGTTCCTGCAGAACCTTGCTAACTGCACAGTCACTTCTTCTCCTGACCCCGCCCCCACGCCAATTCATGATCCATTCGACAATCAGTGCGATCGAACTTAGTCCAGTCGTGCTTCTCTAGTGCCTAAACGCTCCAACTGCCTACCTTTGCATTCAGCTAAATACAGGAAGCCCTGAGCCAGGATCTATTCCAGCTCCTCTCCTGGCATTGTGCTCTCCTTGCTCAGCACTCTGAGCTCACAGGGTCCGCTCTGCTGCTTGAACACTCACATCACCTTTCCTACCTTCACCTCCCCACATGCTCCTCCTTCTGCCTAGTATAGGGCTTCCCCACCACCCTGTGCTAACTCATCCTTCAGGCCTCCCCACAAATGCGTCCGAGAAGCCCTGCCTGTATCCAAGGGTACGGTCTTCATTTCTCATGAAATCACCGCTTTTCCTTCAGTGTTGGCGATGCCCTCTCAACTCTGCGAGGTCGGAGACATTTCCATTTGTCCCTACTATAAATCCAATGCCCAGAACAGTGCCTGTTATCTATTAGGTGCTTGTTAACTTGTATTTGTCAATTACTTTTTTAAAAAACTTAGATTCAATGTCCCCTGTTGTAAAAAGGCCTCGTTTATTTTAGATCTTTTATGTAAACCCAAACATGATCTACCACAAAAGGAACGCTGTTTCAGAGGGAAGCCTGGTAGAGAGCTGGAAAATAGAAAATAGAGTCAAGTGGGTTTATTCTGATACCTGCAGGAGCACATTTATGAAAAAAAAAAAAAATCACTGCTTCATACAGTATTTGCTTTTGTATTAAAAATTTCCACAGATATCAGGGAAAACCACATAAGATCTACACTTGACACATCTCATTTGCATTCATATAAACTTTACTTCTCTACAAGAGGATGATACTTTGTGGGCCCTATAGTGTTAAAGCAAACTGTTCAGGGGAAGATAATTTAACCTGCCTGATGAGCAAGAATCCTTTACAAAGACTCTGACCAAGTAAACAAACACAACTCTATTTTACGTCCCTCTTACCTCTCGTCCACAGTATATTTATTTTCTTCTATCACAGGACTGTCAAATGTAGGTGCCAATCTTCTAAAATTCAAGAGAAGTATATGAAAAAGTATATGAATAAAAATGGAATAAGGTATAACTTGCAGATAGTAAGTTTTGACAAGCAGTATGTTTTTAATATTTTTATGTCAGCCATTAAAATAACAAGGTAGTAGGTGTTAACTTTTTTTCGGTATAAAACAATATACTCAGGCTTCTCCTCTGTCCTCTAATGATTTTTTATTCTTTTCCTCTTTTCTTTCCTCTCGACTCAAAACTTCGGGAAATCTCCTTCTGACACTCTCATTCTGGCTTTTCTTCCCTGGTATTTGATCCCCAGTGATGGCAAGTCTCCTGCAATTAGAAGTTCCAACACTCGGGGCCTCCCTGGTGGCACAGGGGTTAAAGTCTCAGCACTATCAAGTGATGACCAGCCACTACAGTATGAGTTCGATCCCTGGCCAGGGAGCTAACTCACATGGCACAGCAGACCTCTCCTGTCTCACCTGCTGCTCCCCTCAGCAGTCTACTTCAGTCAATCTGCCTTTTCTGCTCCTAACTCTGTCTCTGAATCTTCTCACACACACCAGCTCCTGACCCCCCACCCCGTGCCGCTGGCCTACACCCCAGCTCTCGCACACATAAATAAATAACAAAAAAAAAAAAAGTTCCAAAACTACCTGAAACTAAACACATTGAACTGCTGCTATATTTCCTCTCGGCCTCACAAGCTTCAACCTCCTTTACCATCAGTGCCATGATTCACGTCTGCAGCCCAACCTTGAGAAATCACCTTCAACCTTTCCCCTTGATCTCGTCCCCCTCACCAATTACTGTAACCCTGCTCCCTCAGGACGTGTCTACTCTTTCTTTACAGTCAGGCTCACAAATTCTCCTCATCCGTCCTCACAACCACTATAACCAAGGCTGGTGGCCAGATGGTGCCATCCGCAGACCCCTCTGTTCTCCATCCACCCACAACAGGACTCCTCTCTTCAACTTACCACCTACTGTTCAGACAGACAGGTGGCTCAGAGGGGCAGCTGCCGCTATCTCCCTGGCACTACCAGCTCTATCAACCTCCTTGCTTTTCTCTTCAGTTAAAGAAACCAGTTCACCATGATTCACATAGCACGTGGCCCTTCTTTCTTACCTGAGTTATTGCACTATTGCTACCCTTCCCACTTGTCAACAAAATAATGCACTTCTGAAAAAAATCTCTCCAAGCCACTTCCCCTGTCAGCTTCATCCAAAATAATGCAACACCTGCACAGGCCTTTATATCTATAGTACAGTGTGTACACTTATTCAAAGATTTCTCGATATATTTAAAATTATAGATTTCAAGCTTTTTGTGATCCTCAACTGTGCTTTCTACTTCTAAAACTCCATTCAAACAAGGGCGCATGACACTCTACAAATATTAACAGCTTCACAAACTAGGCTGACAAAGTAAATCTGAAAAATACTTCATATCAAACCATATTTAATAATGCTACTCACCTTTTAATAATCTGGTGTTTATTTTGGATATTGTCCTATAACGAAAGAAAATGGAAAAAGTTTTATGTGATTAAACTGATGATCTTTCTTCTTCTTGCAATCCTTCTTCTGTCTTTCTAACTAGTTCTGTGATCAAATCTCTTTGCTTGTAAGATTAACAGCTGCCTCAATTTTTCTTTTCTCATTCTGTCCTGCTTTTCAGTTTACTTAGCTATCTCAATAGTCTCCTTTATTACAGCAACCACACAGATGGCAGAAAGGACAAAAATGACAATTGTAAATAAACCATGTTCTGTAGAAACACTGATTCCTCAGGTGCAGAATGAAGCCTCCCTATTAATCCTCAGGGTAAGGGGTTCTCAAGAGAAAAGTGCCAATCATGATCACCAACAGTGCTAATATAATAAAGACACAGATGGAGCCCAGGGATCTATTTTAAAATAGTTCCCCAAGGGTTTCTTAGCCAATCAGCAGTTACTATTCGCAATGCTGATATTTTCCTTTTTTTTTAGCAGAAGTGCATAATTTAATATTAATATTTAGCAATAAGAGGCTTCTATATCTCTTAAAAGTCAATATCACATAGCTATTCTTCATTTACATTCACTTTCATTTTGTTAGGCTTTGTGGTGTTTTACAATTCAAATATGCTGACACAGAGTAGGAAGCATCAGATTAAGATTTCTTGAGGTCCTAACACCTGTTAGCCTCAGTACCACTTGATAACTACACTATGGTAACTTAGCCACTCTACTAATGGCAAATATTTTTCTAATTTCTTCCTATTATACCTAGGAGCAAACTTAATAAAGGAGGTGAAGGAATTGTACAATGAAAATTATGACACTGTTAAAAGAAACAGAAGAAGACATATAGAAATAGAAATATATTCCCTGCTCATGGATTGGCAGAATTAACATTGTTTAAAATGGCCATCTTACCCAAAGCAGTATATAGATTCAATGCAACCCCTATCAAAAATTCAATGGCATTCTTCAAAGAAAAACTATTACTCAAATTCATATGGAACCACAAAAGACTCTGAACAGCCAAAATAATCCTGACAAAAAAGAGTAAGAAGGGTGGTATCCCTCTTCCAGACTTCAAATTATACTACAAAGCTGTATTAATTAAAGCAGTATGGTACTGGAATAAAAACAGATACACAGACCAATGGAATAGGGTTGAGAGCCCAGAGGCAAATCCAAATCCACATGGACAGTAATATACGACAATGGGCCCAAGAGTATACATTCAAGAAAGGAAACTCTCTTTAAGAAATACTGAGAAAGCTCAACAGCCATATACAAAAAAATAACTAAATCACTCTATCACATTATACACAAAAATTAACTCAAAATAGATTGATTTGGACATAAGACCTGAAATCATAAAATACATAGAATATAGCATAGGCAAAACACTCCACAATATAAGCTTCAGTGGTATTTTTGTGGATTTGTCTCTAACAGCAAAAGAAATGAAACCAAATATATACAATTGGGACTACATAAAACTAAAAAACTTCCACACAGAGAAAGAAACTATCACTAAAACAAAAATGATACCTTACTGAATAGGAGACTATTTTTCTATACCGTATATCTCACAAGGGGCTGATATCCAGTCTTCAAAGAACTCATACAGTTCAACAAGAAGAAAACAAAGAATTCAATCAAAAAATGAGCAGAAGAGCTAAATATCTCCAAAAAAGATATAGAGATGGCCAAAAAGCACATGAAAAATGCTCATCACTACTCATCTTCAAGGAAATGCAAATCAAAACCATAAGGAGATACCACCTCACACTGGTGAGAATGGCCCATATCAAAGTGACCAGAAACAACAAGTGTTGGCAAGGGTATGGAGAAAAAAGAACCCTGTCACTTGTATGCATAAATAAATAAATCTTTAAAAAAAAAAGCTGCCTAATATTATTATGTAGTAAGGGACCATGATTATAAAAATAGAAAAACATTTATTGGGTACTAGAGTCATTTTAAATGAGGACACACGAAGGAAAATAAGGTTAAGGAGGATGTTTAAAGATAATACTGTACCGAAGAGGATGAGAAAGAGTTGTTTAAACTATCACTGTCATCATTTCGTAATGATGCACTTTCTGGGGAATCACTTTGAAGTGATGCGTCAGAACAACTAGGAAAAAAGGGGATAACTATTAGTTTATGAATTCTATTTTTCACTGATCATTAATTTATTTCTCTAAATTATCCATAAGCATCAAATATTTTCATTAAAATGTTGCTATAGCAGCCAATCTTCATAGTTTCAATATTACTTTGTCCACACTTACAAAGAGTTGCTTCCATGGCCACTGGACAGAGGAGACGGAGTACCAGGGATTGCTGGGTCAGATTTCTGAAAGAAAAACCTCCAAGTCATATGTGGTGTTGCAAACATTATTACCTAAATTTAATTATTAATAATACAGGTTTTCTGTAGGAGTTTACAGCACAACTAAGTTATTTCTCTACAGTGGCTCGGTCTCTGTCTACTAACTCCCACGTTTATTTGTCAAATTCACACCCATACACAATTATGACATGAATATACTTTTTATGAATGTTTGAATGGTTTTAACAACTCTGAATCACCAACAGAACACTGACCCCTTAGGGCCTCAAGGCCTCACAGCCCATGGATCATTAGTGGGATACAGAATCAAGGAATCCTTTTTTTTTTTTTTTTAAAGATTTATTTATTTATACAAGCACTGGGTACAGTCAGAAGCGCGGGAGGGTGAGAGGATTCACCAGAGCCAGAGCGGAGAACAGAACAGGCAGACTGATGAAATACACTGCTGAGGGGAGCAGCAGGCGGCAGGAGAGGTCTGCGCGCCATGTGGGACCCTCCTCCAGTGGCCGGGGAGCGGCCGGGGAGCAGCCGGGGATCGAACTGGCGCTGCAGAGGCTGCGGGCAGCTTCGCAACCCAGCGCTCAACCGCTGCGCCACGGGGGAGGCCCAGAATCAAGGAATCCTTTTGCTACATAGAAGGCTTTCTTGGCATCTGATAAACACATCCAAATCTCAAATCAACCTCAGAGGGCATTTTAAAATATAAAAATAAAATGCAAGGGCAACATGTTCTGAAAACAGACAAAGATATCACAAGGAAGGACAACTAGGTCCAATATCTTTGAACACAGATGCAAAAATGCTCAACAAAATTTTGGCAAATTGAATCCGATAAATCATTAAGAGAATCATATATCATGACCAAGGAAAATTGATCCCAGGGATTCAACATCCTCACTCTCAAATCAGTTAGGAGAGGGGTTAAGGGCACAATATTATAGAATATGTCCTAGTGTACCAGTTACCCTGACATTTTCATAAGTCTGCCAGACTCAACACAGACCACTTGTTCATGTTTAGAAAAGATATACACAGAGAGAGGCTGCTCTATTATAATCAGCATCCTTTAAAGATCCCTTCTACTTTCAAGGAATCTACCTCTTCAGAGGGTGAATACTGTCTCCCTTTGACATAAGAGTTCTCATGAATAGTCTCACAGTTAAGCGAACGTAAGTTTTCCAAATGCTTCCTACAAAACTCTTTTTCATGTTTGTAGAAGAACTGGAGTATAGGCCAGAGGAGGGTGCGTAAGAGGATTCACCAGAGGTAGAGTAGGGAGCAAAACAGGTGGATTTACTGAAATACACTCCTAAGGGGAGCAAGAGGCGAGACAAGAGAGGTCTGCTGAGCCAAAGGTGGGTTAGCTCCCTGGCTGGGGATCAAACTCAGGCCATAGACATGCTAGCACTGAGACTTAACCCTAGGCCACCAAGGAGGCCCTGAATAGACACTTCTGTAAAAACAATTTTGATAGCAAACAGGCACATGAGAAGATGTTCATCCTATCTTATTATTAGATAAATGTAAATCAAAACAACAATAAGCTATCACCTTATGCCTGTAAGAATGGTTATTATCCAAAAGAAAAAAAACAGCAAGTTGTAGAAAATATATGGCAAGAAGGCAATCCTCATATACCACTGGTGGGAATATAAATTGGTACAGCCATTGTGGAAAGTGGTATAGCGATTCCTCAAAAAATTAAAAATGGAAATTTCATAGGCCCTGTTATCCCACTTCTGGACATTTACCTGAAAATACAAAAACACTAATTTGAAGAGATATATGCACCCCCATGTTTACTGAAGCATCTACTCATAATAGCCAACAGTTGGAAACAATGTAAGTGCCCATCAACTGAGGAATAGATAAAAATAGGTGATATACCATTGAAAATGATACTGGCTGTTGGCTTGTCATAGATGGCCTTTATGATGTTGAGGTATGTTCCTTGTATCCCAAGAATTTCAAGGGCTTTTATCATGAATGGGTTACAGACACATCACCCAAAGCAGTGATAGTGAAGGCAAAGATAAACAGCTGGGACTACATCAAATTAAAGAGCTTCTGCACAGCAAAAGAGACAATAACAAAAACAAAGAGAAACCCCACCAACTGGGAGAACATTTTTGCACCCAACACTAATGATAAAGGACTGATCACAAAAATCTGCAAAGAGCTGATGAGACTCAGCAACAACAAAGAAAATAATCCAGTCAAAAAATGGGCAGAAGAGCTAAAAAGAAATTTCTCTGAAGAGGAAATGCAAATGGCCAACAGGCATATGAAAAAATGTTCAACATCACTTGTCATCAGGGAAATGCAAATCAAAACTACCATGAGATACCATCTTACACCAGTGAGAATGGCACATATTAAAAAAACTAGCAACAACAAATGTTGGCGAGGGTGTGGAGAAAAAGGAACTCTTCTGCACTGTTGGTGGGAATGCAAACTGGTCCAACCACTATGGAGAGCTGTGTGGAGATTTCTGGACCTACTAAACATAGAGCTTCCATATGATCCAGCAATTCCACTCCTAGGTATTTACCCAAAGGACACAGAAACATCAATTCCAAAGAACACCTGCACCCCTATGTTTATAGCAGCACTATTTACAATAGCTAAGCTTTGGAAACAGCCCAAATGCCCAAAAATAGATGACTGGATCAAGAAGATGTGGTACATATATACCATGGAATATTACTCAGCATTCAAAAAAGATAAACACATGCAATTTGCAGCAACATGGATGGCGCTGGAAGGGATCATGCTCAGCGAAATAAGCCAAAAAGAAAAAGAAAAATACCGGATGGTCTCACTCATAGCAGGAATCTAGAAAACTTAAATAAGGGACCAGGAAAATGAATATAAGAAAGTGAAAATCAAAATCAACAAAAAACTATGAACCAGAGACACTTTTTGGGGTATGGGGGGCGGGAGGGGAGGAATTGGGGTCAGAATGGGGCGTTTGCAATTGTATGGGGGAATATAAAAATAAAATTTATTATTTAAATTTAAAAAAAATAAATAAAATTTTGATTTATTTCAAAAAAAAAATAGGTGATATATATACAATGGAATACTATTCAATATAAAAAAGATGAAATCCTGCTTGTCATTTGCAACAACATGAATAGATCCAAAGAGAATTATGCTTAGTGAAATGAGCCAGACAGAAAAAACCAAACACTGTGATTTCTCTCACATGTGCTATACAGAGAAAACAAACAGATGAACCATTTAAAGCAAACATCAAAAAGTAAAAACTTTTGGACTATATGGCCAACTAATGGTTACCAGAAGGATGGATAAATAGGGGAAAAGGGGAAACTTTATGGTAAAGGATAGATTTGGACTTTTATTTATTTATTTATTTAAAAGATTTATTTATTTATTTATTATTTATACAAGCATTGGGTACAATCAGAAGCGCGGGACGGTGAGAGAATTCACCAGAGCCAGAGCGGGGAGCAGAACAGGCAGAAGGACCAAAGTACACTGCTGAGGGAAGCAGCGGGCGGCAGGAGAGGTCTGCGCGCCATGTGGGACCCTCCTCCGGTGGCCGGGGAGCAGCCGGGGATCGAACTGGCGCTGCAGAGGCTGTGGGCAGCTTCGCAACCCAGCGCTCAACCGCTGCGCCACCGGGGAGGCCCAGATTTGGACTTTTAAAGGTGAATATATATGCACCATATATATAGTGAATATATATGCAGGGTGAATATATATGTAGCATATATGTTGATTTACACTGACACACATGTGAAATGTATATAATGTTATGATGCAATTCTTCTTCAAAACAAAGGCAATACATACCACTGGGGTCTCTTCAGATCTCATCTGCATATATGCATATTTAGCAGCCAAATGTTTTGCATCCTGTTTAGTAGCACTTGAAGCAATAGGGTATTCTTTCTGTCCAATTTTCCATCTACAATGAAATCTAAGAGAAATGATATAGGACTTAGCCAAATACCAAAAAATATTTAATCTAACTTATGAAAAAATACATAACAAAGGTCTTCATGTAACATTAAATAATAAATATACTTAAATTTCGTATTTTGTATAATTCAAATCTTCAATAAAATGGCAGACCAATTTACCAGAATGGCCAGAAGTGGCTGAAGTCTCAGCTTGCATTTTTTAGGTGATTTTCAACTCTTTGTTGCTGCACTGAAAGACCCTACCCAAAGGCACTAAGTATGGATTTTTAAAAATTCCCCCAAAGGTCAAAAGATTAGAGGCAGAAAAGGAAGAGAGAGATTTGGTGGCTTTTTCAATGATACTCCAATGTGAAAGAAAAAGTCAATAGAGAAAATGAGTCTTCTGCAGGAAAAACAATGGGTTTACAGTATTTTGTAGGGAGTGGACAAAACAGGTTTTGCTTTAATTCAGCATTTTCTGTACCTTGCTGATGTGCACGAAACCAAAAGTAAACTCTCCCATTGCAAAATGCACACTCTCCATTTTAGATAAAAGGACATTTATGAAGGCCTCCCCTGGTGGCGCAGCGGTTGAGCGCTGGGCTGCGAAGCTGCCCGCAGCCTCTGCAGCGCCGGTTCAATCCCCGGCCGCCAGCGAGGGTCCCACATGGTGTGACAGACCTCTCCTGCTGCCCGCTGCTCCCCTCAGCAGTGTACTTCATCAGCCTGCCTGCTCTGTTCCCTACTCTGGCTCTGGTGAATTCTCTCACCCTCCTGTGCTTCTGACTGAACCCAGTGCTTGTATAAATAAATAAATAAATAAATCTTTAAAAAATAAAAAAAAAAAGGACATTTATGAGTAGACAAGGATACTTGGACAATTATATAAAAACTAAATGGATGGTAGCAAAGCATCAGACATGGCCATTCCATGAAGTTACAACGTATTGTTACAAGTCATTCTACTATTATTTGCCATGGAGGGGAAAAACATGTAAACAAGGTGAATCATTCCCTTAGACCTGAAGGGAGAATTAGGGAGCAGAGCTGAGAGACCAGATCATTAGTCTGCAGGAGACCTTAAGCCCCTGCTTGAGGGATGCAGAGATCTCCCCTTTTCTAAGGCTTACTTCTATTGCTCCTATATTTCTCAGATAACCCCTAAGCAGACATCTCTCTCATTGGTTTTTAATGTCAGTGTGCTTAATTTAAAGGAACCAAGAGGTGAGCTATGGAAAAATGAAATAGCCTCTTAATTGACATACAGAGTTCACTTTTGACTATTTCATTCTAATGAATACCATCAAATTTTTCTCTTGCTGGCTCTGGCCTAAAAGCCATAAGAATAAAAAGCAAAAGTAAATAGCCAAATCAATTTAGAGGTCAGAAATCTAAGAGGTTGCCTGGACTATTTGCCATTTTGTCTTTCTTCTTTTTCCCTCATTTATCCGGTGGGTTGTGGCTGGGAAACAATCTCACTCATGTTCATTTGCTTTTTGCTTTTCCCAGTTCTGATCCATTCTTTATTCTCACTTCCAACCTCTCAGCTCAAGGATGATGTTTGCAGTAACTCTGAAGCCCTAGTCTGTCCCCTTCATCATATGGATCCCTCACATTCTAAGGTGAATACCCCCCATTCCTTCCAATACATGGTATTTGTCTGGAGAGTGACAGCTTTTAAATTTGAAGGGTAAACTCATGGACAAACAGCCCAAGGAACTGAGAGGTGGGAAGAGCTCCACATTCCTTGAGCAGGAGGTACCCCATCCTCTTTCAGGTTTCCTGCAGCATAAACAATCCAGATACACCTCAGAAAAAAAGGATTACCCAGATTTGATAAATTATGGCATATGGATCTCAAATCTTCAGCAATTAAGCATTTTAATATATTTTTTAAAGATTTATTTATTTATTTATACAAGCACTGGGTACAGTCAGAAGCGCGGGAGGGTGAGAGAATTTACCAGAGACAGAGCGGGGAGCAGAACAGGCAGACTGACGAAATACACTGCTGAGGGAAACAGCGGACGCAGCAGGAGAGGTCTGCGCGCCATATGGGACCCTCGCCCAGCGGCTGGGGATCGAACTGGCGCTACAGAGCCTGTGGGCAGCTTCGCAACCCAGTGCTCAACCGTTGTGCAACCAGGGAGGCCCAAGCATTTTAATATTTTAATTACAAAGATGTCCAATTGCTTGTAAGTCACATAAACCTTTCATGCAAAATGTACAAAAGAGGACAAACAGTTCTGGAAAATTAGACTTGGGAATAAACCCACTCAATTGCTTAGATACAGCAGAGGGAAAAGCTAATTTACCTGTTGTTCTCAGAGTCCTTCAATTCAAAATATTCATAATTTATAGGTAGGTGTTTTTTCTGGGCACTGTGATTAATAAGGCCTATATAATTCTGAGATAATCCTGTTGAGGTATTTGTCGTCGTCGTCGTCACTGTCTACAAAGGGAAAAAAAAAGCTTGTTTATTATATGTAAAAACAAAGATTTAACGATTTTATTTTGTTTAGTGAAGTTATTAAATGAGCAGTTGGAAAGAATTTAGATTTTATGTGTTTCCCTACTACATCACCTTAAGTAAAAGTGTAAGTATATAACTTTTTCCACTAGAAAAACTCTACAAAGTAAATTTTAACAGTAGGAACCACCCATTTCCCTCTTTTATATAGTTCCATTAAAAAAAAGTACTTAAGGGCCTCCCCGGTGCTGCAGCGGTTGAGCGCTGGGTTGCGAAGCTGCCCACAGCCTCTGCGGCGCAGGTTCGATCCCCAGCTGCTCCCCGGCCACTGGAGGAGGGTCCCGCATGGCGCGCAGACCTCTCCTGCCACCCGCTGCTCCCCTCAGCAGTGTACTTCGGTCCTTCTGCCTGCTCTGCTTCCCGCTCTGGCTCTGGTGAATTCTCTCACCCTCCCGCGTTTCTGACTATACCCAGTGCTTGTATAAATAAACAAATAAATCTTAAAAAAAAAAAAAGGAAAATTAAAAAAAAAAGTAGTTAATTTTATTGTTTATCCATGCACATTATTGTACACTTTCTAGCTTGCTATACCCTTTGTCAATCTCAAAAAACTCAACAAGTATTGAAGAAAAGCTGTCTCTAGAAACATATCTTACTGGAAAGGTAAATAAAATAGTATCACTTATATTATCATCTTACTTTTTTTTTTTTTAAAGATTTATTTATTTATACAAGCACTGGGTACAGTCAGAAGCGTGGGAGTGTGAGAGAATTCACCAGAGCCAGAGCGGGGAGCAGAGCAGGCAGACTGATGAAGTACACTGCTGAGGGGAGCAGCAGGCAGCAGGAGAGGTCTGCGCGCCATGTGGGACCCTCCTCTGGTGGCTGGGGGAGCAGTCGGGGATTGAACCGGTGCTGCAGAGGCTGCGGGCAGCTTCGCAACCCAGCGCTCAACCGCTGCGCCACTGGGGAGGCCCCATCTTACTTTTTAAAATTTTAATCTGACAAAATATTGTTCAAAGTTTTCCTACTTTGTCAATCTTGTCAAAGAACTACCTTTTGGCTTTTATTTTTTTTTTTAAAGATTTATTTATTTATGCATTCAAGAGCTAGGGTACAGGCCAGAGATGCGGGAGGTGAGAGGATTCACCAGAGACAGAGTGGGGAACAGAACAGGAAGATATACTGCCAAGGGGAGCAGCGGGCGAGTCAGGAGAGGTCTGCTGCACCATGTGGGTTGCTCCCTGGCTGGCTGGGGATTGAACTCATGCTGCAGAGGCTGTGGACTACTTCATAGTGTGGTGCTTAACCCCTTGTGCCACCAGGGAGGCCCTATTTGTTTTCTTTTACAATAATTTCTGCTCTTATTACTATTTTCCTTTTGATGGGGGAGGGGAAGATATTCTATTTTTTCCCTAACTTCTTGACTTGGTTTTCTGGTTCATTAATATTTATGAGTTTGTGGCTTTGCCTTAATTGCTCTTCTATTTTCGCAAAAAAGTTAACATCTTCCAGTAAGATTTATTCAGGAAAGCTAATTTTCAATATCCTAGAATGCTCCTCTTCTGTACCATAATAAATGACTTCTTGTCTCAATTTATAGCCATTGCTCCACTGTTAGGTACAGCCATTTTTTTCTTTTCACATTTTATATAATTTCCTTCTTCTATTGCATGACTCTTCTTGCTTAGAGTTCAGTATTTTCACAAGCAATAAAATTGTTCTTGACAGTTTTGTATTTTTCTGGATCTACTGAGTTGTTTTAATCTGTAGCCAGTTCTTTATTTCAAGAACATTTTCTAGAGGACTCTCTTCAGATAGTTTTTCTGTACCTTTCTTCTGTTTTCAGCTTCACAGATACCAATTATACGTGTGCTGGTTCTTCATCATCAGCCCTCTTTATACATCATTCTCACAATCACCATCATCCTTTTGTTCTCTCCCACTCCACTCCCTCAGTTACGTGGAGGGACTCCTGGCAGAACCTGCCAGCTCATTTCTCACTGCTTCCTTTTGACATTTGTTTAATTTTAGAGTTTATCACAACTTTGACACTCCAACTAGGTATGCCCAGCTTTGCTCACTCTTTCCTTGGTGTACCTCTCACTCAGGGTTCTACAGAAATGGATACAGTACAAAAGAATGAACTAAACTTCTGAATGTAAAGAAACCTGCAAACAGCCTTATTCTGTAAATGGGTATTTTCTCACAAAGAAAAATATAAAACATTTGTGACCTCCCTTTAAGTAGGGGAAGAAAAGTCAATTACCTTATTTTCACCATTAAGACTCTCAAGTGCAAGTTTGGCTGCAGCATTTTTTGCTTCCTGCTTTGATTTACCGATTGCTGCTGGAAATTTTCTATCATTTATAGTAACTTGAAATTGAAACCTGATTACAAAGAAAATATTTATAAAATATTATAAAACATACGCAAGTACTCCCATCACCATTGCCTTCTATGACCACCTTTGAATGTTTTAACTTATTTTCAAAATAGAATTTAAGCAGTCACCCCCAAACAGCAAAATTGCACATTATCTTGAAAGAAGGAAGGACTTATACCCCTGTTTCTCTCTAGAGCCCTCTGAAGTTACCACTTTATGCCAAGTAGAATCTCACAGAACTCTGTGGCAACTCTGCTCTAGGGCAAAAAGTACCGATTTTTAAAAATGTGCCAGAGTTGCCATTTTCCCAGTTTATATTTTATGGGGATATATCCTTGTTTTTTACAGCAACTCACCTTGTGTCATGTGGAGGTCCTGTCTTTGACAGTTCAAGATACTCAATTTTTACTTTTTTCCTCTGACGATATGTATTAAGTTCTGCTATGTATAAACCTGGAGTACTATTGGCCATTTCTTCCACTAATCTATAAAAGATGTTTGAAAGAAGTGACACTCACAGAACATATTTCCCAATCCAGTTTAGGAGGCAAAATGGTAAGATATCAAATATTTCCTGACATCCTTGTTTTAAACATCTACATAAATGCAGAGAAAACTTTTTTAGAAAATCCTTCTTTCTCACTCATGGACTTCCCAATAAAGCTAGTATCTCCAAAATGGTCTACTTTCAAAACTTAATTGGAATAGAGTTCCAATTTAGAGGAATATTCCTCTAAAAAGGAATAGAGTTCTTCTCTTTAAATTCTACCTTCTGCTTCCACTGAGTATCAAGTACAAGTTTATCCTTCTGCTGAGAAGGTAAAAGGGCTGCAGAAGCAGAGTTAGAATTATGCTGAGAAGAAAAAGGCTTCTTAGTATATGTATAAAATAAAGTTTATGAAATCATGAAGGATTTAGCTCTATAGGAATAGCTTTCCTATAAAAATCCTTCAAATCCTCCACTAAGAAATTTGCAGATGTCAATTTTAGGACAATTCACCCAGCAGGTAAAAATCACAGCCCCAGTATACAGATCTCACTGGACCAAGAGAGTAGCAATGATTTTCCCCCATAATCAAAAGCGGTTTTCATTGCAGCCTAAAGATACCACAGATAAGTCTGTGGAATCATCCATTAGCTTGCTGTTTCTGTTGTTGGACAACTTAGATCTCATTCATCAGCCAATTGAACTGTTCCTTTTTCAGAAACATAAATACCATCCAAATATCTCCTGATATCCTATTTTAAACCTGGGGCTTGCTTAATCAAAACAGCTAAATTTGTTACAAGTTCAATGTCATTTCCTTCTAGAATTAACTCATTTTTCTGGACTTGAATGAGCAATGCCGGGCCTCATCCAAACCCTTCAGATATATTTTTCACCCAATTAATTTTGGATTTTTTTTTAAGAATTATTCCCTTATTGTAAGATTTTTATTTTTTTTATTTATGCATACAAGAACTGGGGTGTGGCCAGAGATGCAGGGGTTTGAGAGGATTCACCAGAGACAGAGTGGGGAGTAGAAAAAAACTGAAATACACTGCTGAGGGGAGCAGTAGGAGAAACAGGAGAGGTCTGCTGCACCATGTGGCTTAGCACCCTAACCAGGGATAGAACTCCAGCACTTTGCCTCAGGAGAGCCATCTCCCTAAGCCACCAGGGAGGCCCTAATTTTGCATTTTAACAAGCAACCCATTCCCCTCAATAATGATGCTGATGGGGATGGGCTCACAGACCCATCTTGAAACAGAAGCCCAGTGTGACACCCTGGATCATCTTCTGTTCATGACTACAGACAGTGCGGAACAGTAACCAGATCCTTTCTATTTCCCTTCCATTTGTTAACCCAGAGCCTCTTCTTTTCTTTTACAAGGAAACTGAGTTGTACATCGGTGTGACTGAAGTCCCTCTACAGGGTGTCTCTTACATTAACTGTGAGAACCTCTAGAGAAAGATCAACTTTTTCTGGAACGTCAACAGTCTGACTGCAAAGGATGGTCTTCCTCTCCCAGAATGATATGGCAAAGGGCCAATGATTTAAATTATAAACAAAATCTAAAGGCTGGAGGATCTAAATATAAGAACCCAAAGTATAAAACTACCCTGCTGCAGACCTCACTATCCCATTCTTACACTGCTGTAAGAACCTCACAGCCACCACATCACTTCTCAACCTGGCACACATGATTCTTTTGGACATTTTTTTCATTGTGATAAAATGTCCATAACATGAAATTTCACCTTTTCACTAATTTTAAGTGTACAGTTCAGGGACAATGAGCACATTCACAATCTTGGGCAATGTTCTGACCATTCATATCTAGAACTCTCTCCATCTTCCCGAAGAGGAAGTCTATACCCACTAAATAACAACTTCCCATTTCTTCCCATCAGTCCCTGGTAAACGCTAATATTTTCCATAAATTGGCCAAACCTAGGTACCTCATCTAAGTGGAATCATATGAGATCTGCCCTCCTGTGCCTGATATTTCACTTAACCTGCTGTCTTCAAGGATCATCCATGTTGTGGGATGTGCCAGAATTTCCTTCCTCTAAAGGTTAATTAATATTTACATTCATTCATCTGCAGAGGAACACTTGGATTACTTCAACTTTTTTGGATATTATAAGTAATACTGCTGTGAACATGGGTACACAAATATCTATTCAAGTCCCTACTTTCAAATCTACTGGGAATATACCTAGAAGTGGTATTGCTGACTCATATGGTAATCCATGTTTAACTTTTTGAGGAATTGCTAAACTGTTTCCAAAGTGTTTGCATGCACCATTTTTACATTCCCACCAGCAAAGCATAAGGGTTCTCATTTTTCCACCTTCTCACCAAAATTTGTATTTTCCATTGAAAAAGTAATAGCTACATTGTAATCTCTAAAAAGTATCAATCCAGTCTTATATCCCCCTCACCCCCCCAACCCTCCCCCAACCAGACCAAAATTCTTGTTAGTTTCTTTGACTTCCCCATTTCTAAATCTAGCAGTCAGTTCTCAGTCCTTGTCACTTGACTTAGAATTCTCATTGGACATGGCTGCTCATTCCCTTTCCCCTTTTGTCCCTTATTTTTAAAAATTCAGATACTTATTAATAAGTGTAAATCCCAACACAATATACTAACAGGATTCTATGCATTTAGAGAGAGGGTATTTCCTGATCAAGTGAAAAACTGCAGGTGGCTTCTGGAAGACCTTCATTTTAAGCAGCTTTATAGTGAAATATTTCAGTTAGAAGTCTGGATCTTCTTTCCTCAGTTTGCAGTCACCTATAGTCACTGATTAGAACTTGTATTGCTCATTGAGTCCGGGGCTCTGGGTTTTTCTGTTCCAATTGACAAAGCAGATGGATTGAACAAAGAGGATGCATGACATACAGCACTGCTCCAGTGCCTCCCACTCCAATAAATACAAAGAAGGTGATCAAGCTAGGAAGCTTCTTGGCCTGATGGAGGGTCTGGTGGAGCAAGAATGCAGGAGAGGACGTGGGCTGGGAAAGAGAAAACAAATCTGGTCCAGGACTGAGACTCTCTCCCTCTGTCCCTTTCTTAGCTTGGACTACTAAGACACCACACTCTCCTGGTTTTCCTTTCTCAGAAGCTGTTCTTTCTTGTCCTTTTCTGGTTCCTTTTCACCTTTCTTTCTTCTCAATATTGTTGTGTCCCAAGGCTCAGTGTCCAGAAGTGTCTACTCTAATTGCACTCACCCCCTTGGTAACTGCCTCTATGTTTTCCATTATAAAGTCCACCTACACCAAGATGATCCTCTAACTATTCTTTCCTGACTCCCAGCTGCTTCTTGTCCAACATGCTCCCTACTGAAATGTTTTTGATTCTACCCCTCCTGTAGTGTGTCCCTGGTCATCTCCTATTTCCTAGAGATCTCAGCTGACAGGGCACTTTCTAGATACCCTACAAGAGGTCATGGCTAAGTGCTCTATCACAACCCTCTCCCCTTTAATGCAACTGCTTATTTAATTGACTGTCTTCCAAAAGGGCCGCCAGCTATCAATGGGAAGATACCAGGTTTACAACAGGGGACTGGTAATAAGTGAATACTGAAAGGTCCATGCAGCAGGCCAGAATGCAAAAGCCTACCAGGAAGCCCACCTGGGGGGCAGGAATGCGGATACCTGCCTGGAGGACTCAGACAATGAGCTTCCCCCCTCCCCCTATGAGTCTCATCTCAGACAAAGAACCTCTACCTGCCCTACAAACTTTTCCTGCCCCATGAGCCCAACTACCCACCTGACCTCTCCTCACCCTATAAAACCCTGCTTCCCCCTAACAACGTGCGCGACTCCACTGACCCCCGCCTTGGGTCTGTGAGGTCCGCCCGGGGCGCAATAAACTTTCCCTCCCTTTGAGAAATGTAGCCTGGCTCTCCTTTTCTTTCTCGCGCGGAACCTTTCAAATACCAAAATATTTCCAGATCTCCCTTGCCTCAGTGACTCAATGCATGCTTTCCACTCTGCTCAAACTACAGTATCAGCACCCTCTCTCTACCAGGCAATTCCCACTCTTCTGTAACAATCACAGCTTTCTTTGACAAGGGAGGGTGGGGCAGGGAACCTCCCCCTTTCCTGGGGACCACCCTGTTACAAAGGGACAGTTAGTATCCCCTCATAGCACCTGCCACTCTACCTTGGCTACAAATAGCCTCATAATTTTGAAATTCAAAAGAGAATTTAAGCATTACTATTCATTTAACAAATATTTAATGAGCACCTACTGTGCACCAGATGCCAGCGTTATTTCAACTGTTCTTGTGAACTTACTAGCAGAGGAACGCCGACAAACCTATAAAAGTGTCACTGCACTGTCCTGAAAACTAAAATAAAGTACGGGGGACAGCTAAGGGAAAGGGAAGGGGCTCTTTCACATGCACCCTGATAACGTGAGAATGGCAGAAGTGCTAAGTAAAGTTAGCCACTTGTCCACACAGGTGCTGGGGGAAGAGCTTTCCAGGAAGAAGAAAGAGAGAGTGCAAAGGCCCTGAGGCAGGTGTGAGCTTGGCTGGGCCCTAAAAACAGTAATGAGGCCAGTGTGGTCGGGGAGAGCAAGAGGACGTGCCTATGGAGCCATAAACGTCTACGGGACTCTTTCGAGAAACGGAGTTTCTGTTCAGAGTTGAAGGAGCAGAACTCGGCTGTCCCCGTGTGGAACAAGGGGGAGGCGGGAAATGAGGCAGGGCGTCTGGGAGCGGCAACGCCGGGCAGCAGGGCAACTTCTGCAACCCTCCAGGCGAGGGGTTTCCAGTCAGAGCGCTTTCAGCCCCTCTTTGGGTATTTCAGCCCCACATTTCCCACCTGTTGGCCAAGTCACCGGACATACCTGTTTTCCACTAGATTCCTCGTCCCCTGGGTTGTTCCTTACTTGCTCTGGTAAAAATTCTTTGCGGGGAGGGAAAATGGCGCTCAGTTCTCCCGCGCGGCACGACCCTCCCCAGCCCCACGCCAGGCCAGGGACAGCGCGCCCGGCGCGGCCAGGCCCCGGCTCCGGGGCGCAGCAGACTCCGGGCCGGGCTGGGGGCGCACGGCGGGCGCGCGCCTTGGGTCCTCCCGCGTCCGTCCCGCCGCGCCCGCACCGCCCCCCGCACCGCCCCCCGCACCGCCCCCCGCGCCCGGCTTTCCCGCTCACCCCTTCCCCCCTGCGCTCCCCCGCGCGCCGCTGCCCCGCACCCTCCGCGCTCCCCCGCGCCCCGCTGCCCCCGGCGCCCCGCTGCCCCGCACCCCCCCGCTCCCGGCTTTCCCGCTCACCCCTGCCCCCCGCGCCCCGCTGCCCCGCACCCCCGCGCTCCCCCGCGCCCGGCTTTCCCGCTCACCCCTGCCCCCCGCGCCCCGCTGCCCCCCGCGCCCCGCTGCCCCGCGCCCCGGCTCTCACCAGCTGCTGCTCCGCCGCGAGCCCGGGGCTGGCTGGTCTCGGTTTCGCTTTCCCCGCAGACTCCGCCTCCGGCTGCGGCCCCGGTCGCCGCCTCCCGCACGCGCCCGCGCGCTCCCCTGGCTCGCGCGGAAACAAAGTCCGGCGGGAGGCGCCCCCGGCCCGCCCGGCTCCCCGCGAGGCGCTGCGTCGCCCGGCGCGCGCGGACCCGCGCGGACCCACCCCTGCCCCCGGGGCTGCTGCCGGCCCCCGTGCGGGGACGTGTCCCCCGAAGGATGGGGAAACGCGGGCGTCTCCACGCGTCCGCAGAGTGCCAGGATCTCCTGGCGAGGACCCGGGCGCCAGGACGGCGTTCCTCCACCATGCGGGCGCTCGGGAGAGGGGCTGGCAGCGTGGACGGTATTGGCTCCGTTTTACAGGATATGAACTTCTGCCCCAGCTGAGTGGCCAAAAAAGACGCCGTTCCTGGCCAGGCCAAACCCTTCTGGCCCTTTCCACACTGCTTCCGCTTCGCTTTTATGAAGAGGCCTGGAGGCATCATCTTTCAATCCATTCTGACTCACGTTAGCCAGTCAGCACCAAGGTCCTGCCAGTCTAGCATGAGGAGAGCCACCTGCTCCCTGCAGAACCTCGTGGAATTTACTAGAAGTCCACCACCTATTTCCCACCCGTTGGCCAAGTCATAGGCCATACCTGTTTTCCTCTAGATTCCTCGTCCCCTGGGTTGTTCCTTACTTGCTTTATAAGAAATCCTACTCCACGAAAGGACTATGGCACATTTCCAGAGTAACTACAGGCTCACGACACAGTGTTTGAGGAGGTGCTGAGGCCTTACCTCGCAACAGCACTACAGGGTAAGTGCCATTACTGTGTCCATTGAACAGATTAGAAAACCGAGGGGCCATGGAAAAGTAACAGCTTGTAGAGGGGAGTTGGAATTAGAACTCAGAGTCTGTATCCTCAACTGCTTAGCTAGGATGAGGGAAGGAGGTGGTTCCAAGATGTACCTCAAGTATGCATTAAATATTGGCCATTCCCGCTTCTTTTCTATACCACCTCCTTCCCCCATGACAGACTCTCCTGGCTAAAAGCTGTATTTTCCTTATAGTTCAGGTCCTGGAAATGATTTAAGTGTCTCAAATGTGAATTATTGGTGGAAGGAATGAAAAGTAAACAAGAAGCAGAAATCATTGTTCTGTTCGGTGGCATTTCTGGGTGGCAAAAAGCTCCAACAGGGACAGGCATTTGCAGGAGTCTACAAACCAATTTTGTGGGTATGGGTGGCTACCACAGCAACAAGTAAGCATTAAATACAGAAACCCTATTTAAATGAGATTGGGAGGCTAGAAGAGATTTCCCATAAATGCACAATCAGACGTCTGCAGGATCCAACATGCCTTGCACCTCTGGTGGGAAGTGATATTACTTCTCTGTCTCAGTGGGAGGAAGGAGGGATCTTCACTTACCAGGCCCTCTAGAGGATATATAAGCAGATGCTGGCCTTGGATCAAGAGGGAGCACATGTGAGTCTGGCCATGAGACTGTCCATACCAAACTGCCTTTTTGTTGTTTCTAAATAACTCATTTTGTTGGAATAACAGCTTATTTTTTTATTTGAGGTCAACAAATAGCTGTAACAGTGACACATTTCCTGATTTTTGAGGCCCCTGAACTTCAAAAGAGAGTTTAAAGAAGAAAACAGAAACTCAGGTATAGTCAATGGACACAACCTTTTATGTTTGCCTCCAAAGAACCTCTTATTTCATGTAACCTCAGAGCTAATATTGCAGAAATCAGGTGCAGAGTCTGATGCTATAGGTGGAACTTTCCATTATAAATTTAATTTGCAGTCTTGGCTGATCTCTTCTATGAGCATAGAGGGCACTGACGTGGAAAGAATGAGGCCTTAGGAATTTGGGTGGGTTTGAATGAATCAGAGTTCCACTGCCCTCCCTAATTCTGCTGAATCTCCACAGTTCTGTCCTTGCTTGATGAGATTGACACAGCCATGAAGATCTCAAAGTAGTTACCTTGCGAAGAGGTACTGATTCTCCAAATGCCCCATCTCTACCTCATTCCTTCACTCCTGGAACTAGAATCAGTTTCTGGGATACCTAAAGAGGGCACAGAAAAAAATCTGATCCAGAGGCAATATCTTATACAATAAAAGAACTACATGAGTTCACTAATTTTTATGAACACTCAGGAAAACCACATGGAAATGATTCTAAAGGTGACATGAGATAAGGAAGGGAAATTAGGCTTTGCACTCAGTGTGCAGGCTTCTCATGCTGGAATCACTTTAAACAGTTTGTTCAGCTCTGGAGTGGACTGATACAGTCCAGCAGCCTCTCTGGCCTGAAGGGATAGTAGAAGGAAGGAAATTCTTCCAACGGAAGGAACTTAGTTATCATTTGATCAGAGAGAAAACCAGGAGTAGCAACAGACCCATGATAGCGATTTAGCTGGATATTGAGAGATTTAGAAAGAACAAGATAGAAGTTTGGTGATAGAAGGGGGAAAGCAGGTGGTCACAGAATATGAGCATATTGGGTTCCCTTGCGAACATTGACCAAAGGCACCCACTTCTCAGGTGGTTTTTGAGAAGCAGGTGGGCAAGAAAACTTCTGTGCTGTCATTCTCAGCCTCTCTCCCAGCTCCTTCAGTGCTTGTTCAAATGAGTGAACAGGCTGTGGCAGCAGGAATAGATGGTATGAGTGAGTTCATCAACACAGACATCTTTTCAAGGCCACTCTGACTGCTGAATACCCACCATGCCACTGGCAGAGACCAACTGTGAGCCCCAGTGTAGAAGGCGATCAGCTTGCTTTTGGTGGCAGGTTGGCTACATAGGAGCCCTTGGTCCTGGAGTAGGCAGGCTTGTCCTCTGGGGAGTAAATACCGACTCCAAAAATGGATTTCCCTTTCCTTCCTGTAATACATATGACAGCACCATTATTGTACTTTCTGAATACCTTATTCACCATCATGGTCTTCCTCACTAAGAAACCCACTCTACAGAAGAAGTGATGAAGTACACTAACTGCCGTGGGATTCAGTGGTTTTATCATGAACCTCATCACCCCAAAGCAGCTAGCCTTAGAGGAAGGTGTCAGGAGACAAAATCTGGCAAGTGCTATCCAGATGCAGTATATGTTCTAAACCAGTTTCTGTGTCTTCGGTGGTTAGAATACATAAACGCAGAAGCAAAAGTGGTGTCTCCTATAATTAAACCTCACACCCTTTCAAAATAAATGCTCCCTGCTCCTATGACATTGGACTCTGTGCTGGGGGACTTCTAATTTGTTCAGTAAGAACTTGAAACTTGAAACTGGGTATTGCAGGTTCATCATGGCATAAAGCCTTCAAGAAAATAAAGAGGGTAGGTACCAAACTGGCTGTCCTGATTGATAATCATGAAGGGGAGATAATGTTGCAGCTGCCCGATGGAGTTAGGGACAAGTATGCCTTCAATCCAGAGGGTTTAGGGGTTCCTACTAGAAATTCTGTGTTCAGTGATAAATGTGAATGCAAACCTATAGCTTTCCAACACTGCCAAGACAGTTAAGGGCTCACATTCTATAAGACTGAAGGTTTATATCACTCTACTAGCTGCTGAGAGTTCTGAGGGCAAAGGGAAAGATGAATAAGGAAGTTATCAACACCAGCTATGGTTCCATGACCAGTTGTGTAATAAAGCACCAGAAAAACAATGTATATTTTCTTCCTTACTTTGTTTTGTGTGTATTTATGAACTTCTTTTAATTGTGTTTCTATTTACTTTGAGATTTGCTGATGATAGTTAATTTATTAAAATAGACTAGGTTAGTGGATTATTAAAATGGAATTGTAACTAAATAGAAGATGAAGCAACATCACATAGCAAAGAGTATAAAGGTTTGGGGAACAGGATAAGTCTTTTTCATTTGAGGAAAGGAGTGGCTTTATAGGTGGTGACATAATTTTGTTGTTTACTTGAAAATTTGTTTGGTAGGAAGAGTGGACTGCACTAGAATTGTTAATTTTATTTAACTTCTATTCGCCCTTCTATGCCACCTCATTTCCTGATATATAATGTATGGGGTGTTTAAAAAGCATTTTCCAGATTTCTATGGCAAACAAATATTCTGGGAATCCTGCTGAAACTCAAATTCTGATTCCGAAGTCTGCATTTCTATCAAGCTCCCAGGTGACAGATAATGTTGATTTTTGAAGACTTGTATTTTGAGTTGCAGAGTGTAGAAAAACGATTTAGCATTGGCTTTCAGGTATTCCCGAATTCAAATCCACGTGTTGCTTCTTATTAGCTGTATGGTTGTGGGCAAGGCAAACCTCTTGCCTTCTCTGTATAATTAGATAGATTATTTTTTATGTTCAAGGGATGATGGGGAAAAAACCCCAAAACCCCTTATAATTTTATATATATAACCCAATAACCCAAATCACAGTTATTGTTAGATAGGGTTGTTGAAAGGGTTAAATAAATGACCCTTGTCAGTGCTCTGGGGTGGCAATTAGCTCGGGGCGGGGCCAAAGTTGGAAGAGGCGGGGCGCCCTTGCGCATGCGCAGTCCCGCGTGCCCGCTCGGCAGGTGAGCGTGGCAGGTGAGTGGGGCGCATGGCTCGGCGCTTGGGTTTGGGCCCCCCAGGGTGTCCAGTCTGTGTTGGGGGCGGGTTTTTTTTGTGGGGGGGTGCTTCCGCAGAGCCCCAGGGCAGGGTCATGTGGAGGGCCCGCGGGTGTCCAGTCTGCCCGAGCGCTTCCGTGGGGCTCGGCGACCTTGGCCCGGCGCCGCGCGGGCGAGTTGGCCGTGGCTGGGTCCGAGGCTCGGGGGGCTCGGGGAGCTAGGGGGGCCCGGAGGGCCCGGAGACGCGGGAGCTGGGCGGCTGGCTGGGAGCTGGGCGCCGCGGGGGTGAGGGGCGTGGGTGGCCAGCGTGAGGCTGCGCTGAGGGGTCTCGCGGGCGGCTTGACTTTGACCGTGGACACCTGGAAAAGCTGCTTTTACTGGTTAAACCAAGGGACGTGCTGGAGGACGCTTGTTCCCCAGCATCTAGGCCTGGGAGACCTGCGGCCTGAAATCTTGTTGCTAGATATGCTGAGCCCTGTAGAATTCCCCGTTGGTGCACAGATGAGGGGTTTCAGGCAAGACATTGCACATTCGTCTTAAGCTGGTGCACCCCAAGTCGTGGGCTTCTCGGCCCTTGTGGCGCTAACCCCACGACACGCAGCCCCGCTTGTCTTTGAGCCCATCAGAGGGCTAAGTTATGTTACATTTCATCTACTTGCTTTTTAAAAAAACATTCATTTATTTGTGCATACAAGAGCTGGGGTACAGGCCAGAGATGGGGGGGTGAGAGAATTCACCAGAGACAGAGTGGGGAACAGAACAGACTGACTGAAATACACTGCTGAGGGGAGCAGTGAGCCACAGGAGAGGTCTGCCTCGCCATGTGGGCCGCTCCTTGGCCGACAGGGGATCGAACTCGTGCAGCAGAGGTGGATTTCTTCATAGTTCAGTGCTTAACCCCATGTGCCACCAGGGAGGCCCTACTTCATCTAAATTCTACCCCTCACCAAAATCTTGTCTAATCTCGTTCCTCCACTGGTATGGCTCTCTTGTCAGTTAGTAGTCTAACTTTGTCGTGGACAGGTGCACCTTTGGTGGGCTTTATTACCTGGGCTTTATCAGTCATTAGAAATACCTCTCCTGGGCCTCCCCGGTGGCGCAGCGGTTGAGCGCTGGGTTGCGAAGCTGCCTGCAGCCTCTGCAGCGCCGGTTCGGTCCCCGGCTGCTCCCCGGCCACCGGAGGAGGGTCCCACATGGCGTGCAGACCTCTCCTGCCGCTCGCTGCTCCCCTCAGCAGTGTACTTCGGTCCTTCTGCCTGCTCTGCTCCCCGCTCTGGTTCTGGTGAATTCTCTCACCCTCCCGTGCTTCTGACTGTACCCAGTGCTTGTATAAATAAATAAATAAATCTTTAAAAAAAAAAAAAAGAAAGAAATACCTCTCCTAAAGCTGAGGGACTTGGAATGGAATGTAAATGTGTGTGTCTTAAAGATAAATGATTTCTTACACAATGTTATTTGGACTTAATTGTTGGAATCCTTAGCCTCACCCTCACTCAACCAAAAGAAATTGTTTATACTTAGATTACTGTTTTGTCTGCTGGAAGGTTTTGAGTTGTAGGGTTTTTCATTCTTATCCTTTGAACATTAAAAATAGCCCAAGAGAGCTCCCTGTACTGCTCATGACATTTTTGTCAGTAGTATACAGTATTGTAGTAAACAGAGCAAAACCACCCTCCCTTTCCGCCCGTGCACCTGCATGCTGGTTATATTTAAACTCTTTTTAAAATTTCCTTGGCTTCGTTTCTTTGGGGTAAGAATGATAAAGTTTTTTAGTTGTATGGTACACTTGGTAAGGATGTTAGTAGGATAATCTTATAAAAATAAGGTATTTAGGGCCTCCCTGGTGGCGCAGTGGTTGAGTGCGATCCCTGGCCACCGGTGAGGGTTCCACACACACAAAAAAATAATAAGGTATTTAATTACTCCCACCTCCAGGCATTGTGAAAAGGAGTTAAAAGCAAGTGGAATAGATGCATGGCAGCAAGCAGAGACCTGGGACTGTATAGTCCCAGAGAACAGAGAACAGTGACAAAAGACACATAGGACAGTATTAAAATGCTGAGATGAAAATCTCATTGTGTTCTTAACTTTGGGGTTATAGGGAGGCAGAGTAAAAACTTGCATTCACATTTTATATATTCAGTTGAGTCCAATCATTTTTTTCTTAATAGTCCTTTCATTTTAACTTTTACTTTAGATAAACAGAATAAAGACCAGCAGCCCCTCAAGAGCAAGAACCAATTAGTTTATGGTTCAAACTTTGTAGCCCCAGAATCAGGGATTTTGTTTTCACATTTGTGGCCACTAGATCATAATATCTTAATTCCTAGTTCAATTCACAAAATGATATGTCGTATCTCCCATTCTATATTCCTAGGCAATTTTAAAATCTTAGTTCCATAAATTATTTTTTTACAATGCCATCTTGAATTATATCTGTTATTTTCCCAATTATATCTTTGGGATATTGTGCTCCTTAGGCATACAGATCGAAAAGTAGAAATGTGGGACACTTGAGTATATAGTAATTTTGGAGTTCTATTATACAGGTAATAACTCATGTGGTGGGAATGGTAGTTATTTTTTGTGCTTTTTTTTAAGATTTTTATTTTTATACAAGAGCCAGGGTACAGGACAGATGCGTAGGAGTGTGAGAAGATTCACCAGAGACAGAGTGGGGAACAGAACAGGCAGACTGATGAAATACACTGCTGAGGGGAGCAGAGGGCAAAACAGGAGAGGTCTGCTCGCCAAGTGGGTTGCTCCAAGGCCGGTGGGGATTGAACTGGCACTGCAGTGGCTGCGGACAGCTTCACAGCACTGTGCTCAACCGCCTGCGCCACCAGGGAGGCCCGGGAATGGTAGTATTTTTTATAGCTGTGACATTAGGTTTGAATGTTTAATCTCATTTGCATTTATTTGTTAAACTTAGGATGGCCCGCACTATGGAACCACTGGCAAGGAAGATCTTTAAAGGAGTTTTGGTAGCAGAACTTTTTGGTGTTTTTGGAGCATATTTTTTGTTTAATAAGATGAACACAAGCCAAGGTAATCATAATTTAGAAATGTTTCTAGAGGGGTGTACAACTTACCAATACATTTAGATTTTACATGGCTTTTTTAGACAAATTGGTTTAGAGTGAATATATTGGTCATTTTTATGGACCCAAGGGGAGAGCTAGGTATTATTGTAGAACGAATGACTCTCCCTAAAAAAGGTTAATTTATAGACTAGGGAAGATATTTCACACTCCCATGGGTTTTACTAGTGAGGAGTATAGAGCAAGTGTTTTGGTCCGGCTTAGTTGGGGAGTACGGTAGGAGGAAATTCAGCCTGCTCAACACACCCTTGTTTGGTAGACAGAGAAATCAAGTAGCATGACTGCATTGCCAAAGCAACCAAAGTTAGTTTTTGGAAGCTCATAGACTCCTTCCTCTCTGTCAATACTGAGCACTGAAAACCTTTCCCATGCTACTGGCTATGACTGAAAGTGCCTTGACATTCTGGAGGATTATCTTATAGCATAGTCCTCAATCTTAAGTGAGGAGGCACTGCCTTCAATTTCCCCAAACGGAGTAGTAGTCCTGAGTGGTGGCCATCTTTGAAACTTGTCATGTCTTCCTCAAAGTGCTATTGTAGGATGCTATTGGATATTCATTCTCTACTCTTTAAAAGTATAAAAGAAACCTCCAAATAGAATTTAAAAGCAAATGAAAGTTTGAGATCAACTTAAAAAACTGGGTATAGCTTATAAGTTCTAATTCTATAACAAAGTAAAACGGCATCCATAAACACAATTCCGATCTTAGGTTTCAGGACAAAAAAATTATAAAGCTACTTAAGAGAATGTAAGCAGTAACTCTGAAAATTAGGTCAAAAATTTTTTTTTTTTACTGTTTTGGGGATGCCAGTTTATCAACCTTTGTTCCCTGGAAGAAGATGCCCTGGATTGAGACAGTTTAAAAGTCCTTCTGCAGGCCAAATTTTAAGCTGTAAAATAACCACGTAAGGCTCCATGTAAAGCCAAGTACAATTTAGGCCCTATCCAAAAAGATACGTATTTCCTGGGTTACCAGGACTTTAACAAATTTCTAAGATAGGATTCTTATTTTATAGACACCAAAACTAGCACTAAATGGGCTAGCTCTGTATAATGTCTAATTTTAACTTTTTCCCCATCAGATTTCAGGCAAACAATGAGCAAAAAATTTCCCTTCATCTTGGAAGGTATGTTTTTCCTTAAATGAAAGCATCCAAAACTTTTTCAGCTAACCTATAAATTAAGTAGTACTTGTGATGTCAATTTCCAGCAATTCTGTTCACTCCTATTTTAGCTCCTTGAGATCACAGAGTAGAGAAAATTCTAAACTATAGTTATCTAGATAAGAGCAGTTAGTGAATGGGCTGGACTCTTAATTCTTCCATTGGTTAAAAATGCAGACTTTGGAATGAGATACTGCTGCTGTGATCAGAACACAGCTTAAAACTGATCTCAGGTTTGCCAATTTCTTGGAGTTGTTTCCTTTTCTATCAAGTAGAGATAATGCTCACCTCACTGGACTGCTACAAGGGTTAGAAAAGATAGCAAGTAGGGCCTCCCCAGCGGCGGTTTGATCCCCGGCCACTGGCAAGGGTCCCACATGGCCTGCAGACCTCTCCTGCTGTGCCTGCTGCTCCCCTCAGCAGTGTATTTCGTCAGTCTGCCTGTTCTACTCTCCACTCTGGCTCTGGTGAATTCTCTCACCCTCCCATGCTTCTGACTGTACCCAGTGCTTGCATAAATAAATAAATAAATAAATAAATAAATAAATAAATCTTAAAAAAAAAAAAGTATATACTATCCATAGTAGCTGTTATAACCCAAACAAGCAGTGCTCATTATAGTAATTAGTAGAGATGCTACAGCTTCTACATGAAATATATGTCATCTTTTTCATTGTATAGTTTAGCAATAAGGGAGAAGAAAGGTCTGATTTTTCTCAATAGTTTAATTTAAAAAATTTTCCATGATTTTATAAATGACAGTTATTTTTATTTGTAGTTTACTACAAATCCATTGAGCAGTCAGGAATGTATGGACTCAGAGAGCAAGATCAAGAAAAATGGCTGAACAGCAAAAATTAGGAGTAAGTAGAACTTTAACTTATTTAGGAAATGCTCATTTTCTTTGCTTCTTAGTTTTCTGAGTGGTTTTCACCTTCTTTTTGAAATTTTTCTTTTTCTTGATGATACTTTTTACATCTCTGTTGTGTAGCCAGTCATCACGTTCAGCCTCCCATTTAAGCTGCTTGAGACCTGTAGGGGGAGAAGAAAGATGAACAACACAACGTTGTAGATACTACTGAAAAACAGGAATTTCTGATTTCCCGCCCACTGTGCAAATTCATTCCCTGAGAGTTGCTTTTCTTTCATTGTCAAAGATTACTGTTTTTCAAATAAAAGAATAAGACAGGAACAAATACTTTAAATTCTCTCACCCTCCCGCACTTCTGACTGTACCCAGTGCTTGTATAAATAAATAAAAATAAAAAAAATCTTTAAAAAAAAAATTCAAATTACTTACTTGCATTATCTCTGTTAGCCATGGCATTCATGCCAATATTATCAAACTTAGAACCCATATTTTCATCCAATAGGTGACCAAACTTTAAAAGGAAAAGGTATACATTTATTAGAAAACTTAAAAACAACTTAGAAAGTCCTCAAGCCAATGTATGATGAATAACTTCTTAAAGAGGAACATGAACCATACCTCCTCAGCAGAAACAAATAGGTTGGAATCATTGAAATTTCTTTTCTTTTTTTTCCTTGGTCCTAGAAAAAGCATAAGCCTAGATTATTCAACTATAAACTCACTGATTTTTTAATATAAGCCCTTCAACATGATTTCTTAAGAAAACCTGGAAAAAAGATACAAAAGGAAAAACAAGAAAAAAATTTTGGTTTAATTATGTAATTGCAATGATCTAGCACCACTGGGGGCCGGCATGTGAGGACACAAATATTAGAATTAGTAAGTAAATAGCATTTTTAAAAAAGTGAATATTCTGAGAACAACTGTGTAGATGACAATATTATCTTATTGTCTTTCAGATTTCCCACTGTTCAAGGCTTACCTTATTTCACAGTGTCAAGATTAAAATCCCAAAGTTGACCTGCAGATTTGGAATATTTTAAGGCAAATTCCAATTAAGTCTAATTCTTTGGGCTAACTGTACAAATTGATTGAAGGTATGTTTGTTTTGCTGCTAATGAATTTATGTTTTTATTACTCAAAGTGTTTCATCTTAAAAACTTATTTGTAATTCTGAATAAACTTCTTGAAATAGACAAAATCGATGATTATTTTAAAAATTCACTAAATTTTAATTCATTTTTAAAATCAAATAAAATCACATTAGCTGAGAAAAAGAAAAAGGCAGTGTCTATGGAAAATCTGGGGCTTACATTTAAGTGAATGACAGACATATCTAACATGAAAGAGATGATGATCTAGGGACATTCAAATGTGGAGAAAGCAATTTTAGGAAGAGAATATAATTGAAAGTTTATGTGGAAAACAATTTTTCACACATCAAGAATGCATAAAACTTGTTATACATTATAAAAACATTTCTTTAAAAAACAAAGCTGAATTGTACTAATCAATTTAGAAAAGTTCATTTCCCAAAATGCTAACGCCTTTCACATGCACACTGCTTAGGTTTAAAAGGTTAAATGTGTTTTCTTACCTTGAAATGATCCAGCAAAATCAAAATCATCTGCATCTTTTCTCTTGCTTCTTTTAGTACTGACTTTGGAGCTGACTTCATTTTCAGATTCTGTTACCAAACGAAAAAACATGCCATTAGGCAATTTAAAAACAAAAGGACTTGAAAAGATTATTCTCTGAAAATATTTAATACAGTGGTAAGGCATTATAGAACTGTTCCCTGTGGGTTTCACAACTCCATTAGCATAGACTTTGAGAATGGCAATCAGACTAAAAGTAAATTACTACTAGCATAGTTGCATATCTTATGAAAGTACATAATTTATTAGATAGCTTTATTGCTAAAAACAAATAACTCCTTAGAACAAGAATAAACTTCTATTTTGGTTCAGAATAAGCAGCAGGCAGATGAATGTATACTCGGTAAGTTTATTGTTGTAAGAGGACAAAAAAAGTTAGAAAACAATTTAAGGACACAATTTTATTGTTCTTTGTTGTTTGCAAAAGAATAAATGCTTACCTTCTTCATCTAGAGTTATGAGGAATATTAATTTTTATGAACTGCTGATTACTATTTTTAGAAAAGGGAATATAGGGCCTCCCCGGTGGCGCAGCGGTTGAGTGCTGGGTTGCAAAGCTTCCCGCAGCCTCTGCAGTGCCGGTTCCATCCCCGGCTACTCGCCGGCCACCGGAGGAGGGTCCCGCATGGCGCACAGACCTCTCCTGCCGCTCGCTGCTCCCCTCAGCAGTGTACTTCGGTCCTTCTGCCTGCTCTGCTCCCTGCTCTGGCTCTGGTGAATTCTCTCACCCCCCCATGCTCTGACTGTACCCATTGCTTGTATAAATAAATAAATCTTTAAAAAATAAATAAAATTAAAAAAAAAAATTGAGAAATTTAAAAAAAAAAAAAAGGGGATATAATAGCCCAACATGTATTGCACAGGCATCCTAATTGTTGACTAAATGTAAGCCCAAAATTTAAACTCAGCTACATTTGGGAAAAAAAGAAAAAGGCTGTTAATTCCAAAATGAGGAGAAAGAGCCTAAATTTCTGGGTAATTTTGAACACATAGTCCTATTAAAAATCTTCAACAGAAAAACTATCCCACACAGGAAGAAGATAGTTTATTTATGTTCTAAAAATGCTTACCTAGTATGCCCTCACTTTCATCATCCAACAAATCCATGAATGTTCCTCCATCTTCGTTAGTTTCAGTAAATTCTTCATTCATACTTCCTAAAGAAATTTCATCATCATCCAGGTTATCCAGGTCATCATCACTACCCTCTGAATCTTCATCTTCTGGGTCCTTCTTTGCTCCTTTTTTTTTCTTTTTCACGTTGCTAGAAAAAAAAAAAACTTGTAAATAAGGACATCCTTTTCTGAAGTGTGTCCTGGTTATGGTCAGGGTATCAACAATATAAAAGGAGAGAGTTAAAGACCACTCAGATCCTTTACTTAGTGTGCATTATAAAGGTACAAAGTGAAAGTTTTGTATGAATTTTTCAAACTTATGTTAAGTATCTTTCTCCTGTGTATCACAGTGTCCTGTGATCTACTGTTTTGAGGGGAAACAGTATGAAAAATGATAGGGTAAAATTTTTTACCTAGCAAAATCAAGGTCATCCTTTCCAGAGGTAAAACAATTATCATCTTCAAATGTGTCTGTAAGAGAAAAACATACAAATTGTGAGATCGTAAAGAATAACCAAGTTGACATGTCATATCTGAATCAGTTCAGTCATGAGTCTACCATTTAGGACAATACCAAAATAACTTTGACTATTGCTGGTATGTTTTATTAATTTATATAAACTTGTGAATATACCGATCTTAATTAAATCCCTAAACTAAAATGAATTCCAATTAAAATTTAGCTTCTTTTATGGAAAGTATATATTAAATAAGATGGTATTTAGGAACTGCAGTTCTTCTTAATTTATTAGAACTTTTTAAGAGCTTATTTTTAGTATTGGTAACAGAATATTCAACAAAATAATAATTGATATACTCTAAATTTCCCATGATTTTTGTTTCAATTGACAGTTCAATTAAAATTTTTCTAGTTCTGTGGATTATAAAGAAAAAATAGAAGAAATGGCAGACTATTAGTACCAACAGTACAAGGAGAGTAGCAACAGTAAAAATATTTCTTTTTATAAGAGATTTGGCCTTTAGCATGAATAGACTCATGTATATATACCATTGCACTCCCACCCCACCAAATGTCCAAAGTACAATCGTGTATTTTCTGGAGTAAAGGTAAACATATGCCCCACAAATATTTTTCTAATTCTCTGTTGTGATTTGCATGTTATTTTAATTAAATGACTTTTTTAAACTAAGGCTGCTTCCATTGTTAATATTCTATTGTTCTATAAATGAAACATTCTTTTACAAATTGAAGAGTCCACAAAAACAAATTACCAATCATCCTTTCAAATTCCTCATCATCCACATCTTCTATACTCTCTTCATCTGTATCACGTTTTTGTTTCTCTTTAATAGTTGCAGCTTTTTTATAATATCTAAAATGAAATGAATGTTATATAAATGATAGTTTCATTCAAGGGCCCATTTTAATATAATCAAAACATCTGTCTAGTGACACCTATAAAACCTATTAATTCAACTGGATATCTGTGAATAAAATTTGTATTTAAGAAAAATGTTTTGAATTCAACATGACAGTTGGAAACTTTTGAACTGAAATATAATAATTTATAACATGAAGCATAATTTAAGGTTTAAAGTTTAAACCTCAAAGATTTAAGGTTTCTTTCAAACTATTTCTTCATAAAATATCTCAACTCATCTTAATTAAATGCCTATAAGAGACCAAAGCCCCAATACTAATAATGTAAGTATTAGAGTATTATAAAATGTGGCTCTATATGACTTTTAAACATTATTTTATCACTATTAGCATAATGCAGATTTACAACCTCTAAGAAAATCACTATTAAAAAAATTAAGCTCCAAAAATAAAGATTCATAAAACAAAATTTATGCCAAATTATTAAAAACAAAACTCCCAAATTTATTTATTTTAGTTTCACTAATATCTCTCAAGATTAGCAAAGTGATTTATAAATTCCCTTCACAAAAATGAATATTGACATATTCTCTAATCTTAAGACAGGTCTATATAAACAGAACATTCTACAGAATCTAAAAATTTGAATTTCATTAGTTCTCCAAGTGAAACTATGTCAATTATTACCTGTAGAAAAACAGTTCGTCCACTGGTATCTGGCTTTCTTCTTTTGCAAGGAACTCCTTACTGTTCACTAGGAAGATAAATGAAAACATTTTAAGTTAGTAATCCTTTTTATGATATTCAAGATTGTAAGACTAAATATAGCATACCAACAATTCAAAAAACCCAAAAAGTAAGGAAGGTCAACAGAAATGACCCTCTATGAAGGATAACCTATGGAAAAGTGTGTAGCAAGAAGACTCAGCATTCAAATTCTTAATCACTATGAAAGGCAGTCAATACAGAGCCATTAGTGCATCAAAGAGAAAGAACTAGGTTCTCTCATTGTCTTCCAGTTGCAGTCAAATTGCTCTTCAAATTTCAAGAGATAGAGCCTCCCGGGTGGTGCAGCGGGTTGAGCGCAGCGTTGTGAAGCTGTCTGCAGCCTCTGCAGCGCTAGTTCAATTCCCGGCAGCTCAGGGAGAAACCCACATGGCATGGTAGACCTCTCCTGCTTGCCCGCTGCTCCCCTCAGCAGTGTCTTCAGTGTTCTGCTCCCCGCTCTGTCTCTGGTGAATTCTCTCACCTTCGCACGCCTCTGACTGTACCCCAGTTCTTGTATAAATCTTAAAAAAAAATTTTTTTTCAAGAGATAAAAATTCAGAGTTCTCTTAATGTAAATCACCTTAAACTTGACTTTAACGTAATACTGAGGTAAATTATGAAACAAAAATAAGGAATTATAAAAGTACCAGTTTTCTCTTTTCAGAAAAAAAATTTCTGACTCAGCTTGATTAAAGGGGGATTTGCTTCTAATTCTAATTCTTAACTTTGGTCAAGTTCGTATATACCTCTGTGAAGTCAGTTATTTGGAATTTAAATGATTTATAAGATGTAACTTAACCTCAACAAAAAGGAATTGGGATGTGGAATTAAAAAAAAAAAAAGGTATACTCTGAATAGAAAAACAGGACAGATAAAGAAGACAGGTACTAAATACCTGCAGAAGTTGATGGTTATCAACTAAATTTAAAATGATGCTCTGTAATAAAACCAATTGTAGGTTTTCTAGGAAACCCTATTAGAAAGTTAAAATGAGCTGAACTAGAAAAGATGTATGTATATGTTTCATTGATAAAGCAAAGATGATACAATAGCAAAATATTGGTAATTGTTGAAGCTGAACAATGGTTAAATGGAGTTTATCATGCTATTTACTTCTGTATGTTTGACACTGAATAAAATTTTAAAAAGTATGACACAGCAGACTTGAGAACGTATATGCACGCTTTTTTTTCTTTTAAAGATTTATTTATTTATGTATACAAGAACTGGGGTGTAGGCCTGAGTGAGGGGGGTGAGAGAATTAACCAGAGACAGAGTGAGGAGCCTAACAGGTGGATCTACTGAAATACACTGCTGAGGGGAGCAGCAGGCGAGACAGGAGAGGTCTGCTGTGCCATGTGGGTCAGCTCTCTGGCCAGAGATCGAACTCATGCTGCAGTGGCTGGTGATAGCTTCATACTGCTGAGACTTAACCCCTACGCCACCAGGGAGTCCCTGCAGGTGCATTCTTGGCAACACAAGATAGGCAGTGTCTTTGATGCTTAGGTTTTCTTCTGATGTGTCTATGTTACTAACTTATATGTCTTATCAGCTTCAACTGTCCATGCATTCAACATACTTACCAGGAAGATTTCGAATATCCTTTATAAAGTGTTTTCTTTTTGGCTGCATAACAACACTGTCTGTGTTTTCTGAAATGTAAAATCAAGACAGTATAATGTAAAAATTAAATATATGCTCACATTATTTATTAAATATTAACTGTGAATACCAAATAATTAATTTAATTAATTAAAGAGAAACCTACCTTTGCCTTTATGTGGCTTTGGATTTCGGTAAACAAATCGATCCAAGAATCTCATTAGTGTGAAATCCTGCAGTGGGTCCCCTGAATACTGAATGTAATCACCCTGAAAGATATGGGGAATTTAAGAACTTAACTCAAATTATTTATATATGCATCCAGGTTAAAAAGAAAAGGAGGAAAACATGTTTCTATTACACTGTATCGAAGGCACAAAATATGCAATAAACACTTGCAATTCCCCTCTCCTGGACATTATTGTTTATTTGAAAAAACTGCTGGAGTGCACACACATATTCTATGATGCAGTGCTGATTTTATGAGCAGGTAAATAATATTAAAACTACAGGTCATCTACCCATTAACAAGGAACCAAACTGGAAAATAGCAACCACAACAAAGAAGAAAGGGAAGGACAGTATTTCTCCAGGAGAAAAGCCAACCAACTGTGGTGGTTTTCTAATACCTTCTATTTCCTTCATCTCAGAATGGGAAGAATTATCTGCTATTCTGCATTAAACAAACCATTGTTTCTTTACAAGAACAGAAAAATATATGGTTCTATCTAATGGGAAAAAAGGGTAAGATTTTATTATTTAAAAACAGATCACTTTTTTTTTTCTTAATTTCTGCCATCACAATATTTTAAGACTTACCTTAAGGATGGTGTTTGCAAAAAGGGCCACAGAAGGATGAAAATGTTCAGATAACTGAAAAGAAAAAGATAAATACAGTAAACTACTAATTGTGGTTATTCAAGAAAATTCAAAGAATTGAAACTTAAACCGATATATTTTAAGTGTGATTTTCAGTATGTCGGTCTCGGGACCACGTTACACACTTAAAAAAAATCATTATATATAATGATAATTACATAAAATTACAAAAAAATTAAAGAGTTCATTTTAATATACCACTTAGATGTTAATATAAATAATATAGAAAATTGTGAAAATTATTTTTCAGAATAAATATTGAGAAGAATCATGTATTATGGCTTTGTCTGGCTTAACAGAAGACAATGGATTCTCCTGTGTCTATGTTTCATGTTATTTTAGTTGAAATATATGAAGATATGTAGGTGGAAAAAGGAGGATGAAATCCTGTCACATAATTAAAGATTTTCTTCTATACTATACCAAAACCAAAAGATTAGTTGAAACATGCAATCTGAAACCATTCTAAATGGTTTTTGGTACCTGCCACTTTAAATTAGTCTGCTTTAAATTCATCTTTTATCCATATACGACTTTACAGCATTGTACACTGGACTTCTGGAAAATACCACTTCACTGAGATATGCATTGCTTCCAAAAGTTGGCCACATGTCATTACACACAAAAACCACATCATTAATGACACCACTGATTTCATCTAACATTCTCATGTTTCATGTTTTGAAAAACTGCCAAGATTTCTGAAATTTTAATCTTTGCTTAAAAATCTTGAATTTTACCACAAATTGATAATCCTTTAGCTGTTTTGCTTGAAGAAACAGGTTTAGTGCATTTTCAAGAAAATGTTTCCCAAATTACCCACATCTGAATAAGGAGTCTGCTGCCTAGATTTCCATGACAAAAAGCAGTTTTCAACAACTACACAAACACCTTTCCTTGAGTTATGAGACAACCTTCACACTCAGGGATGCAGAAGTGCCTTATGTATTCTTACATAAAATTAAAAAGATGAAGAGACAATATAGTCAGTAATTTCTCCTGCTTTATCCCTCTTACATAATAATGGGGATTTTTTTTTTTCCAACTTGCAAGTATGTGGCAGAGAAGAATATAGTTGCACCACTGGAGATTGGTGCTAATGACTAATTGAGCTGACACCAGCAATTTTAGCCATTTCTTTCATAGTGCCCTTCTCAACATAGCAACAAAGGTAAGTAATATGTTGCTATCACTATGAAAGTGGTTGTGACCTTGTAGAGTTGCTGAAAAAGCATTAGGGACCCTTTAAGAGTCTGGTTTGTGTCCACATTTTAAGAAGTGTTGTGTAGGAAGACACTTACTTGCTTTACAGGAGAAACCACAGAAAGGTCATTAAAAACAGTGTATTTAAATAACATTTAAAAAGTAACCATTTGCAAAAAGTTCTATGACCAAACTTTCAGGAACATTTATTGTATAAGGTAAAATTTACCCACTCTACATAGCAATTATATGCCATAAACTACCCAAAAAACCAAAACTTATTTATAGCCATGTACAACATCCTTATTTAATGTGCACAATATATAAGACTTTCTACATGTGAATATAGAAAGGTATAAAGGTGGAAATCTAGTGTTCATCAGAGGCAAGAGAAATATGGGTTATAAAACATTACAGCAGCGTGACTTACTTCAAATTACCTTCATATAACAACTAATGTCTAAATTTATATTTATGATTTGAATGAAAAAAGGAATCTTGAAGGTGTTAGGTCCTTGGAGAGAAATCTATAGCACAAGTGAATTAAATGACACTGAAATTATTTTACCTTTTTGAGTTCCCAAAGACTTGTGTTTTCAGCTCCACAGAATAAAGGGTTTCTGCTAAACGGATCATATGTGTTTAACCGTTTACCACCTACAAACAAAAAAATAGCTTTTCTCAAATACTTTATTCCTAACCCAAGAAGTTACTAGAGCAACCACCATTAATATTGTTAGTGACAGGCATAAATGTTATTTTTTTATAGTCAGCCATCTGATCTAAACTAAAAAAAAATCAACCCCTTCAAGAATCTGTCTTGGGGGCCTCCCTGGTGATTCAAGGGGTTAAGACTCAAGGTATGAAGCTCGTGGCAGCCATTGCAGCTCGAGTTCCATCCCCAGCCAGGGAGCTACCCACATGGTGCAGCAGACCTCTCCAGACTCGCCTGCTGCTCCCCTCAGCAGTGTATTCAGTCGATCTGCCTGTTCTGTTCCCCACTCTGTCTCTGGTGAATCCTCTCACCCCCCACACCTCTGGCCTGTACCCCAGTTCTTGTATGTATAAATAAAGCTTAAAAAAAAAAAAAAAAGAATCTGTCTTGGTAACCAACCTACTATTTGCTACTGAATAAACTAGCCAGGGGTCTATCCTAACTACTGAAAGTTTCCCTTCAAAACTTAATTTTTCAAGAAGAAATAAAAAGAAGCTATTTCTGGGTCAATAAGGTCATAATTAAGATGACAACCTCAAGATGAAGTAAGTCTAAAGTCTTTTGGAATTTCAGAGTACTCCCAGTATTTGTCGTTAAATTATGCCCAGAAATAATTCACCTGTAATAAGTTTTGCAGAATCTTCTTCATGCTTTCAGAAACTCAGGATTAATATACTTAAAACAACCTTCAGAACACATTATGAACTCTCTACCTTATAATGTATATGTTTGCCATCCTTCTAACAGATTCTTCTCAGTTTAGCCTTCAGGGCAACCAATGGATTTTCTTAAAAACTTTCCTGGTAGCTTCTATACTTCTGTATTTCACAAGCAAACTGAAGTTTGCAAACCTGAAATAATTTGAACTATAACAAATCTGAAGAAAAGGGTCTGACAATTTGATTTTCAAGGTGGGTTTTCTTTACAGTCTCAAATGAAGAGACTGCATTTCTAAGATTTCTTTTGGCTTTGATACTCTATTAAACTTAATTCACTTTGTGTATACGCAAACCTAAATATTCTTTCACATAGAGGTTTCAATCCTAACATTACTTTAAGAAACTGTGATTATGGGTGATTATGATGCTCAAACTAAAGAATCAACAGTTCCACAAAATTTATAATATAAAATCAAAATACTTGTGTTAAAAAAACCAAGCTCTTGTATAGACACATTTGACAGCTCCCATGATCATATATATAAGAACACATATATGTTCCATGTTTGAGACCTTCACATGTAGAGATGAAGCCAAGAAATTAAAACTGGTTCAAAGGAATAAACTTAACTACATTTCTAACGGAAGGAATTGAGATTTATTGTGCATCTGTCAGTTTTCTCACTAAATAATCACAGTTCCAAAAAGTATTTGCTTTAATTTCTAGATTTAAATTATTTTAAAATGTTCAGCATCTGTAGTATTTTTAATAAATAACTCACCATATTAAAAACTAATTCCCAGGGTCCTAAATATATCTGGTTATGAGAGCCCTGATCTTAAGGAGGGCAATACTGAAGACTTTTAAAACGGTAATATTAATTTCTATCAAGATCAAAGGGGAAACCAATTTCCTGGTTTAAAAGTTCAAAAGACTAATTTAAAGATTTAAAATACTCACCTTTCAAATTATCAAAGTGTACCCAAGAAGCAGACTCTGATTTCTTGGTTTCCATATTACTTTTAGACATAGTTTCTTCTTCAACCTTTTTTTCTGTATCTGTTTCTTTATCTGCATCAGTGAATTTTTCTATGTCTTCTTCATCTTCTATGTCAATAAAATTTTCTTCATCATCAGATTCCTAATAATAAATCTGGGTTAGTCAACTGGATGTCCTTATTTATATAATTTTGAAGATTTGCTTAATTGCAATTCTGATGAATCATTAAAGGTCTATCAATGAAATTTAGAACGAGAGATCATATTCTTATTTATAAATATAACGGTTACGCCAAGTATCCCTGAGACTTTGTGACTTGGTATTTCAAGAAAAAATTTACCTTTTGAACAAATTTCTGACAAGGTATAAATAACCCTATGAGGCAAGTGCTATTATAATGTCCATTTCACAACTGAGGAAACCAGATGAAAGGTCTACTGACTCTATAAACCTCCCTAACTACCTCATATAATTGCAGTTTAATGTGGTGTAATTACCAGTAAAAGGATCAAGCAACAATGCTCACCCAGTAAACTCTACCCCGGGACTAAAATCTAGGTCTGTCCAATTCCAGCACTCACATTTCTTACATTCTTCAGAGAACTAAGTCAATTATTGTCACTGAAGCAAAGAAAAAGAAATACCACATATTTCAGAACCCACTCTATTTAAAAGCAGTTGTAAAACATACCGGATGATGGTCTAGTTGACTTCTTAAACCTGGTTTTGCTTTAAGGATCTCAGACACAAGATATAAAGCTCCACATATGAATGGTGGCATTTGTTCACAAGTCACTTGAAGCAACCTCTTCACAAAAGCCTTCACTCTGCGCAACATGATGTCAGCTTTCAGAGATTTGTAGACAAGGTTAAGAAACATGGCTTGCTTAGAACATGATATCAATCCCGGATCCAACATCTTCCTGTGTAAGAAGACCAAATGCTTATTCACAAAAATTTCTACAACCAGCTGTCACAAATTAGAAGCAACTACTAACCCTATTTTAGAAATAACCTTCCCATTTATTTTATTTTATTTTTTAAAGGATTTATTTATTTATTTATTTATTTATTTATTTATTTATTTACAAGCACTGGGTACAGTCAGAAGTGTGGGAGGGTGAGAGAATTCACCAGAGCCAGAGCTGGGAGCAGAGCAGGCAGAAGGACCGAAGTACACTGCTGAGGGGAGCAGTGGGCGGCAGGAGAGGTCTGCGCGCCATGTGGGACCCTCCTCCGGTGGCCGGGGAGCAGCCGGGGATCGAACCGGCGCTGCAGAGGCTGCGGGCAGCTTCGCAACCCAGCGCTCAACTGCTGCGCCACCGGGGAGGCCCCCTTCCCATTTATTTTAGATTGAGACACCCATTTCCACCCTAAGAGGAAGTCAGTGATCAGAATGGAAAGATGATGGCAAGAGATTTTTTTTTTCTGGTTTCTTCTCTCTTTTCCAAGGGGTTCTCCATTCTCTAGACCAACAGGGCACAGCACTAAGACAGAATTTTTTCATGTACACAGAATTATACATGCAAGGTTAAATCAAAACCAATGAAAAAAACAGACTAGATCTGTTTTTTTACCAACTAATTGGGTGACCAAAGGCAGCCCTTATGTGATTCTAGTGAGACCATGATTGTATTTTATGTTTATATAAACATACACTGTTTGTGTATCAGTTGCATGTTCATATTCTTCACAGTTTAACACACTGTATTCTTGTGTTTCTCTCCTGCAAAGTTCAAGGAACAGGAACTATGCTTATATTATTCACTGTTATAACCTCAGTACCTGGCACTTAATAAGTGATCAGTATTTGTCAAATGAAGAATGAACCTCCATATTAAGGAGCTGTACAAAATCTTGAGTGATTATGGATGGCTCACTTTGTCTCACCAGGAATCCAATCCAATTCTTCATTTTGCCATAACATCTCTGCTTTAGTCACAAATGAAATGTGTTTCTGTGTAATTTCCAACCATTCTACTGTTGTCCTGTGCAGCAACACAAAAACTAAACAGGCAACAAAAACAAAAGTAAACAAGTGGGACTAGGTCAAACTAAAAAGCTGCTGCATGGCAAAGGAAATAAAATGAAACAGCAACTTACAGAATGGAAGAAGGTATTTGCAAACCCTATGTTCAATAAAGGGGTAATTTAAAAAAAAAAAGGAACTCATGTAAGTTAATAGTAAACACCCAAATAATGTGATTAAAAAATGGCCATGGGACCTTGACATTTTTCTAAAGATGCCATACAGATGGCCAAAAGTGCAGGAGAAGTTGCTCAACATCGCTAATCAGCAGGGAGAAAAATCAAACTACAGTTCTGTATCAGCTTCATCTGTTAAGATGACTATGAACAAAAAGACAAGAGATAGTAAATGTTGAGTATGTGAAGAAAAGGTAAACTTTCACACAGAGGGGCTATAAATTGGTAATCATTTCAAAGGTATATATTAAATTGCCATGTTTTACACTTTAAATATAAACCATTTATCAATTACCTAGTAATAAACCTAGTAATACCTTTACTTTCAGATTCTTGAACCTACACATACAATTTTTTGTTTTTTAAAGATTTATTTATTTATGTATTTATTTATTTATTTATACAAGCACTGGGTACAGTCAGAAGCGCGGGAGGGTGAGAGAATTCACCAGAGCCAGAGCAGGGAGCAGAGCAGGCAGAAGGACCGAAGTACACTGCTGAGGGGAGCAGCGGGCGGCAGGAGAGGTCTGCGCGCCATGCGGGACCCTCCTCTGGTGGCCGGGGAGCAGCCGGGGATCGAACCGGTGCCGCAGAGGCTGCAGGTAGCTTCGCAACCCAGCGCTCAACCGGGGAGGCCCCACATACAGTTATTATGTGTCTCTTCTCCCCAACTTCTCTCCTCAGCAGGCTGCTCGGTTTTTTATCTCTTATGATAATGTAAAAACTCTTTTATCCTAGTTGCTGAATTCTAGAAATGCCTCAAATGGTCTCCAAGAAATTAGAAAATCCAGAATTAACATATTCCCACGTGGAATCATTACTTCCTTTGTTCTAAGCACTTCTCTTAACTTTTCCCCAGTAGAAATAGAAATGAAAATACTTAAATTTATGAAGCATTTTCATACTGCTCTGCTTACCCAGTTTTCCCCATTTCCACTGTCATTTCCATAATTCTGATACCATTAGTGATAATCTGAGATATTCTTCATCCTTCAATCTTTGATATTCAATTTTCTCATTCAAATTTTTCAACATTTCCATCAGTTTTACAACTCATTTCTAGACATAAATTCAATTATATATTAATAGAAACATGTGAGATGAATTTAAACATCCATGTCTCTACCATCTGACAGAGCATGTTCCTTAAATTGTTGATAAATCATCTTTATGAGCCAAATAATCCCTTCATCTTTTATTCCTCAGTTAATGTTAGCAAATATTTATTTAAGGATTCTTAATAAAACTGAAAGCAAATAAATACCTTAAGAAGATTTAAAAGTCCTTTGAGGAAATCCATCAGTGAGTGCTCTTGGCAAGCAGTAATTTAAAGAATTTAGGAATGTACTCCTCAAAGATGTTGTGCTGTTTTGCTAAATACTGAGATGTTAAAAAGGTATCAGAAAAATATTTTCTAATAGATTCCAAAACATTTCTAGAAATTAGAAATTCTATGACCCTCAAAAGTTACAAAAGCTCCAACACTGAAGAGCTGGAACTTTCTAAACTAAAAAATGTAATCATTTCTTTTAAAAAAGGGGCTCCTTAGAGTTATGAAAATCTTTGAGGGTTTTTTTTAGCATACCATAAAATCCCTGAGGGCCTGTTTTTTTTTAAGCATACCAGTATAATCAGTGCCATGTAAATAACATGGGCTTCAAAATCAGTAGACCCACATTTGCCACATTACTCGGCCTGGAAATGGCTGTGTGACCATGCACAAATTATTGTACCCACATACTGAAGAGCTGTGAAAAGGATTAAACTAAAGAAATGAGTGTGACTAATGTTAATAATAGAGTAAACAGCGTACTTATTACCTGTCAAACACTGTTAAGCACTCAACATAAGTTTGGGTTACATGGATTAACATTTACATTATGCTCATCAATTGTATTAACATTCCTGTTGTCATTTTCTTTTTTTTTTTTTTTAAATAGAGGCATGTTTTATTTATTTATTTATTTGTTTGTTTTATACATGCACTGGGTACAGTCAGAAGCGCAGGAGGGTGAGAGAATTCACCAGAACCAGAGCAGGGAGCAGAGCAGGCAGAAGGACCGAAGTACACTGCTGAGGGGAGCAGCGGGGGGCAGGAGAGGTCTGCACACCATGTGGGACCCTCCTCAGGTGGCCGGGGAGCAGCTGGGGATCGAACCAGCGCTGCAGAGGCCGGGGGCAGCTTCACAACCCAGCGCTCAACCGCTGTGCCACCAGGGAGGCCCCCTGTTGTCATTTTCTAATTGTGTAACTTTGGAGAAGTTTTCATAATAACCCTAGATGCTTTTCTCTCCATTTTATAGACAAATGAACTGATGCACAGTAAAATGGGATCCACATTTGCCAACAGGGTCTTCATGCAAAAACTAATAGCTGACATTCAACCCCAGGTAATATATGACTTAAGTCCAAGATATTAATCACTGCATTACATTTCTCATAAGACATAATACACATTTCTTTGGTATACTTGAACAGTTTCAAAGTATTTCCCTATCATTTAAAATAGCATCCCTCAGTGGGTGAGTTTCAGGATAGTTGCAAAGTTCAGTAAACAAAGTCTTAATCCCAATGTTACAAATATTCCAAAACTGCAATAGCCAATCCTTCCCTAACAAACTTTTTTGTTTACCATCTGTCTTCCCCCATCTAAGTGCCTCTAGGAGTGGCAATTTTGTTCACAGTACAACATTCTGAGCATTTGGAACAGTAGCCAGTGCTCAAAAGTTCTTGTTGAATGAACTAAGTGACCTTGTGAAGCGCAGGAGAAAAGAAGAAAGAAATTTAGAACTAAAGACCCGAGAGGAAGAAGTTTAAATTATACTTGCAGTTTTATGTCTTTAATATTCCAAAAGAATTAAAATATCACCCCATGTTAGTTGTGAATTATTAGGTGATGGAATATGAATGGGGGGGGCGATATTTAAATAAAAATATCAACAATGTATTGAAAGCATCTAACATAGTTATCCAACAGGGTAACAGATGAAGTGGCTTATTCAAAGCTAGTGGGTAGCTAGTTGCCGAGGCAGGCTAAAATCCAATTTCTAAGTTTTTCTCTTAGTCCACAGAGGGGCACTGCTTGCACAGTATTAGATTACTTTCTTTCTCATATTTACATACTGAAATATGCACTTACCTATATAATGCTGAATAATATCGATCTGATATTGTCTGCTGGGAATTCATTACTTGGAAAAGCAACATTAAAGCCTGCACGCTGGTATTAAAATTCACAGCATGCAGCACTTTAAACAGCGTGTCAACCTGCTCCCTCACTTTTTCATCACCAGTCTGAGAATAAGGGTATGCCCTATTCACTCCTGTCAAAAGGGCACTAAGCATTTTTGATTCAATATCCTTTTTCTTGATACAACTCCGGAAAAAACAAAAATAAAGAGTTATTAATTTATTAGCCAAGTCGCTTTCTTCATGGGAAAGGGCCATTTGATTTAAAAAGCAAATTGCATAATATTGAGCTTTAGGGCTGATATTCGAGCGAAAGAGAAGTCTTTCAACTTCACCACACACAACTCCTTTCATATTGGGATGCTTACAAAGCAAAATCTCTAATAGATGGGAGGCTTTTGTGGCAATTCTGTTCAGAGGATCTCCCAGTTTATTCACCACCTGCACAAGAAGAGCCTTTTCTTCCTCAGGTTTGTTGCAAAGAAGTTCATGAGCCACTGTAAGTGCTCGAGTTTTGGTGGTTAATAATGAATCGTGACTTAAAGTTTCTAAGACTTGCACAAATTCAGCCATTAAGTGTTTCAACTGGTGTTCAAAATACCATAATATAAGTCTTCTATCTCTTGAGTCCCTGTTGCCACTGGACAATTGTTCTAATTTGTTGAAAGGACGCTGACTGAAAATTCGTAGCTTCCGATTGTCTGGCAAAAGGTCTGTAATGAGTAATTCTTTGAAAGTATCCAAAGCCATGAGGCACTGCTGTTTGCTACCCTTCTTTTTAACAAGATTCACCAGAGTTTCCACAAACTGGAGTGTGTGAATGGCATCATCCTGAATAAGAAGAATCATGGCTGCCATCCTATCACCTAAAGTTCCCGAGGATACAATTGCTTTCATCCAGGTAGAAGAGGCTCCCTTTTGAGTATTTGTTTTATTTTTGAATAAGCTGATTTCATGTTCATATAACTTCTGAGCCAAAGTTTGGTACTTAGACACAACATCCCGAGGCTGGGGCTCCGAAGAACATTCACTGCTATACTCCAGATCATACCATTTACCTCCAGGCTTGAGTAACAATGTCTGCCTCTCAAAAAATTCAAAGATGTCCTGTTGTTTATCTTTCTTCACTTTTGGTACAGCACTGCTGTTCTTATCAGAACTTTGATCCAGCTTCTTCTTATTTTTCACCGTACTGATTGATGTCTTTTCACATTCTGCTGCATTTTGCTTTTTATTATCTACTTTTGTTCCTTTTTTGCTGGCATTTTCCTTTTTAGTTGGTTCATCATCTTCGATTATAAAAGCTTTTGCATACTTGGCCAAACTAAGATTTTGAATAAATGCTTCCAATTCACCTTGTTGAAGGTCATCAATGGCTCCTTTTTTGCCTCCATTTACCACTTCCTCATTCTCATCCAGAGTAGCCAGCATAAGGTAATCTTGCTGCATAAAAACATAAGTTAAAATAAATGACAAATTCAGCAGTTCATTTAAGACAGCAAAAGTTAATCTGAAATATGTATCTCTGAAGTCAATTAAACTGAATTATAATGATATTGCCTGGGTTCCCACCCTATACCCAAATAAAAATTTGATGGGCCAAAAACTTAAATGTGAATAACAGAACTATAAAATAGGAGGCAACACAATACAATTATAAAAATAACTTCAGAGTAGGGAAATCCCCAAATTTGACATAAAACTCTGGGTCCGTAAGGAACAAATTATTCCCTTGAAACCAAAAATATACAAAAATTAAAAGATTACAAATTGGAAAAAATACTGAAAGGCTTATCAAAGCAATTGGGCATATTTAATATAAAAGTTCTTCCACATGAGGTAAGGAAGAGACAAAACCCAACAAAGATGTACAAAGGATAAAAACAAATTGCTCACAGGAAAAAGAAAAGTAGTTATTTAAAAATATGAAAAGATGCTCAACCTCACTGATATTTAGAGAAATCAAATCAAAGCCAATTATTTTTTAATCTGTCAGATGAGCAAAGACCAATTATAACAGGTGGTGCTGGGGATTGCAAGGGAAAGGGAAGGCAGATGTGTTTTAAACTGACACATCCTTTAAGGAGGGCATTTTCTAAATTTGACAAAAATACAAGACACATCCTGTAACCCAGCAGCTCATTTCTACAAATTTAGATTACATACACGTTTATGAATGTGAGTATATACATATATATATATATATAAAACTGAAGCATTGTTTAAAATAGCAGAAGACTAACAATTTATTTATTATTATTTTTTTTAAATCATGGCCAAGAGGTATTTATTCTTATGATACAGTGATGGTTCAACATATAAAAATCAATCAACACAATTCATCATACTAACAAGAAGAAAAATAAAAACTACATAATCTTTTTTTTTGTTTGTTTGTTTTGTGTTTTTAACACCAAGCAGGCTATTCTTTATTGTTCTGTATATGTATATAGTTGTGTGTGAATATATATTTTTATTTTTTTTATAATAAATTTTATTTTTATATTCCCCATACAATTGCAACCCCCCCATTCTGACCCCAATCCCTCCCCTCCCGCCCCCCACCCCCCAAAAAGTGTCTCTGGTTCATAGTTTTTTGTTGATTTTGATTTTCACTTTCTTAAAGTTATTCATTTTCCTGGTCCCTTATTTAAGTTTTCTAGATTCCTGCTATGAGTGAGACCATCCGGTATTTTTCTTTTTCTTTTTGGCTTATTTCACTAAGCATGATCCCTTCCAGTGCCATCCATGTTGCTGCAAATTGCATGTGTTTATCTTTTTTGAATGCTGAGTAATATTCCATGGTATATATGTACCACATCTTCTTGATCCAGTCATCTATTTTTGGGCATTTGGGTTGTTTCCAAAGCTTAGCTATTGTAAACAGTGCTGCTATAAACATAGGTGTGCAGGTGCTCTTTGGAATTGATGTTTCTGTGTCCTTTGGGTAAATACCTAGGAGTGGAATTGCTGGATCATATGGAAGCTCTATGTTTAGTAGGTCAAGAAATCTCCACACAGCTCTCCATAGTGGTTGGACCAGTTTGCACTCCCACCAAGAGAAGACTAACAATTTAAATACCCACAATAAATGGCTGGTTAGATAAAACAGACACAATAATTTATGCAAGCATAAAACTAGTGACAACTAAAAAGGATCTCTAAGATATTGTATATAACTATAGTACGCTATTTCTTGTGTAAAAACAAAACCCTAATACACAACGTGTATTTGCTTTTAAGGGACAAAATACTTATGAAAATGACTGCTTCTAGGAAGTGAAATTGTATGGTTGGAGATAAAAATGGGAAAGATGACTTTTCACCAAATACCACTCTTTAAAAAATTTTTTTTTGTATCATGTTCATATGTTACATACTATTCAAAAATTAAATAAAACCCAAGTACAGAACTGTGAATCTGTCCCTTAAAGTGGCATTTCTCCATCACCAAAATCTAGATTTAAAACAACATTTAAGTATGTAAAATTGTTATGTATTTGCTGCAAATCTTCTAATGGTTTCTATTAAACGGAAAGCAAAAGCCCAGTCTCTTACCTCATTTCTTACTACCTTTCCTCTTACCTCACTCTGCTCCCGCTATGCTGATATTTTCGTTTCTCATGGAACAACATGGCCCATTCCTTTCCTTCTGTCAGATTTCTGCTCAGTATTTCCATGACAGGTTCCCTGATCACCTTATTTATAACTGTCTAACACCCTCCCCCACTCCTTGTCCTCGTTCTTTCATTTTTCTCTATAGCACCAATCAGCGTCTGACATACGATGTATTCAAAAGTTTGGTTACAATCTCTTTCCCTTAATTAAGAAGTAACTTCCAAAAGAGCAGAGTGCAGTGAGCATGTGTTTCTATTCAGTGAGGAGAGAAACTGAAATTCCAACCCCGCGGGAGTTCAAAACAGTGATGCCACGAGGTCAGGACCAAAAAAAAAAAAAAAAAAAAATCAGTCCTCTCCGACCTGACGGGCATCAGTATTATTACATCAATTAATGAAGAGGATCGTCTACATCTGAAGAAAGGCCGCGTCATAAAGACGTTCAATTCTGAACTACTTTCTTATAAAGAACAGCAGAAGAGGGGCCTCGCCGATGGCACAGCGCTTTGAGAGCAGCGCTGTGAGGCTGTCTGCAGCCTCTGCAGCGCGGGTTCGATTCCCGGCCGGCCAGGGCGATACCCACATGGCGCGGCAGACCTCTCCTAGCACAACTTCTGCTCCCCTCAGCAGTGTATTTCGGTCAGTCTGTCTATTCTGTTCCCCACTCTGTCTCCGGTGAATCCTCTCACCTCCGCATCTCTGGCCTGTACCCCAGCTATTGTATAAATAAAAAATAAATCTTTAAAAATAAATAAAGGAGAATAAAAAACAAAAAGCAGCAGAAGAGAAGTGCGAGAAGCGCAGAAAACACATTCCGAGGCCGGGATCTGGGTCTCCGGCGCCCTCCACTCCCCGCGCCGCGGCCCCGCGAACCCGAGGCCGTTACCTTGCTGCCTCCGAGCCGCAACACCTCCTCCAAGGAGAACCCATTCTCGGCTTCATCGTCTTCGTCCTCATCCGGATCGTCCACGGCCTCCTCCGGGTGCCAATGCTGCTTGGCATGGAACTCCAGACGCTCCCTGGCGGCCGCCATAGCCAGCGAAGCACGAGCGCCGGACGCGCAGCTGCCCGCGGCCTGGCCGTGACGCACTTCCGGCGGGGCGGGCCCTCTGCCGGAAGCGGCCGAAGCCCTCGCCCGCGGGCGGCGTGGGGTCGCGGGAGGATTGCGGCATGAGCGTCCTCGCGAGGGCCGGCGCGGGACAGCTGAGCGCCGCCGTGCGCGCGGGTCAGCGTACGCTCTGCCGTGGCTCCGGTTGCCGTGGAGACCGCGTGGGCACGTTCCTTAGTTGGGGGCGCCTGGGCTGCCCGGGGCTCGGGGCTGGAGTCCAGCTGCAGACCGGGAATGGGCGTGCAGTGCTGCCCGCCGCGTCGGGTGGGCGCCCGCCCTCCTGGCCTCGGCCGAGGCTCACGCTGCTTGAAGGCGCTCAGGCTGCTGCGCCAACTCAATGCGAAGGTTTTTAATAGGATGTGTTTCATGTGTGTTTTTCGCAGCCCTTCCCTGTCTTTGGAGAGGGAAATACTTCAGCTCCGGGAAGGAGCCGGCAGAAAACCATTCCGTGACGCCGATGTTGCGGCACCTTATGTACAAGATCAAGTCTACCGGCCCCATCACCGTGGCCGAGTACATGAGGGAGGTCTTGACCAACCCAGCCAAGGTATGGGTCGGCAGCCAGGGTACCAGGCCTGCTCTTGCTGGTTTTGGGGGTGTAAGTGAGGAGGGGGTATTATACCAAGAGCAGACTGAGGATGTTGAGCCCAGGCAGGTGGGGAGCCTTCAAGGAGAGGAGCCACCCCCCCCACCCCCAAACTCGGAAACAGATAAATTAATCTCAGTTGGAATTGGTGAGGACTGGATAGTCAGCGCCACTGCTCATAACGAGAAGAGGGGAGGCGAGGTTTTCAGAAGACAGTGTAGCCAGTGGGTTTATGGGATGAGGGAAGGGTGATTTTTCTATCTGAACTAATGGTAGATGGTTTCTACCATTTTTCTGGGAGAAGGGAATGCAGAGAAAGCAACAGTCCTTTTAGGAGGGAGGGAACAGATGAATTTGAAGTGTATGCAGGTTATTTAAGTTAATACCATTTGTCTTGCTTACTTACAAGAGTCAACTTTCTTACTAAAAAGCCTGTTTTACTATATACATCATGTAAGGTTTTGGAGGACTGTTTGGAAAGTTTGTTTTTTTTTTTTTTTAAAGTAATACGTTTTCTCTATTTTTCTTTTTACTTAGGGATATTATGTGTACCGGGACATGCTAGGAGAAAAAGGAGATTTCATTACTTCACCTGAAATCAGTCAGATCTTTGGGGAGGTAATTTCCAATGTTTAAAAAAAAAAAAAAAAAAGCAAAAACAGAACGAATATCACCAAACATCTGAGAACAAACAGATCTAGTTATATTATTCTGAAATAGTGTGTTATAGCTGTTTTTGTGATTTATCAAAAGTTTTAGTTTTTTTTTTTAGTAGCTTATATAGTGAGGTAATAGAAAGCAGTAGAAGAAAGGAAATGGTAATCAGAACTTTTCAAACATACTTTACTGTAGAAAAGAAATGTAGAAATAAGAGGGGAAAGAGAAAAGGAGAAGAGATGGTAGTGAAGAGGTTGGGAAAGGAAAGAATCCGATGAAATGACAATGGAAGAAGGGAACCATAAGGAACGGATGAGGAAAGAGATGCTTCCTAAGAAGGAAGAGAGACAAGATGCAAACACCAAGGAACTAGTGGAATCCAGATGAGCTCCATGATCGCTCCAACCATGGTCTGGCCACAGATACAATGGAAGTTTCCCTTTAAGAAACTTTGAGTACTTTCTAGGAATTCCAGTTCATTTATTTCCATATGAGCTTTATTTAGCAATAAAAAATAGTACATAAAAGGAATAGAATCCAGGTATTGAAAATATTTATTATACCTGAAAAATGTGTGATTGTTGAAACTGATATGAATATAAGGAAACGGCATAGTTATATTTCATGTAAATTTGTTTTCAAACACAAGTACGTTTTAACTTTCTCCTGTTACTAAGCTTTGTAAGTGGTGTGTATTGTAACACAGCCCCAAGGAAATTCCTGTGTGTGCATACATGTATGAATATTAAGTAACATACATGTGGTTGTTTGCAAACATTTTGCTTTCTGGAATAAAGTATGTTTTTACATGGAGTTTTTTTCTATTGTGGTATATATTTGTATTTAATATTTTAATATTTTTTTCCTTGTTGCAGCTGCTAGGGATATGGTTTATTAGTGAATGGATGGCTGCTGCGAAAAGTACAGCTTTCCAGCTGGTGGAACTGGGCCCAGGTAGGGGTACCCTTGCAGAAGATATTTTGAGGGTAGGTAAGAAAAGAATGTCTTCAAGCCTCATGTATGTGAATCTTACTACTTCTGACTGTATTTGCAAACTGTCTTAATCTCCCGGACTTTTAATTCTACCTCTTTCGTTTCACATTTGTCAGCTAAATTACAATGTTAGAAAAAATGTAATGAATCATTACTTATTGTCTGTTTGTAAGCTTAAAGAATAGGAGTGGTAGAGAGAATGAGAAAACTAAAGGCATAAGCATTTAGAAGATATTATGGGAGAATATTTGTTGTCTGAGTAGGAAAATTTTAATTCTGTAAAAAACAGAAGCCATAAAGGAAATGATTAATAATTTTTACTACATTAAAATGAAGAACTTTTGGGCCTCTTGGTGGTGCAAGGGGTTAAGATGCAACCTATGAAGCTATCTGCAGCCACTACAGCACAAGTTCGATCCCCAGCCAGGGAGCTACCCACGTGGTGTAGACCTCTCCTGACTTGCCCGCTGCTCCCCTCAGCAGTGTATTTCAGTCACTCTGCCTGTTCTGTTCCCCACTCTCTCTCTGATGAATCCTCTCATCCCCAGCACCTCTGGCCTATACCCCAGATCTTATATGTATAAATAATAAATAAATCTTAAAAAAAAACCGTAGTTAAATTAAAAAAATGATAATAAAATGGAGAACTTTTGTTGTTTAAAGAAATTAGAAATTTTGTACTTTTCAAAGATGTTATAAAGAGATTAAATTGCCAAGCCACAAAGTGAGGTAAATTACTTGCAAAACATTATGATAAAGTAAAATAAAGTAGTTGGAGTAAAGAACTCTTTTAATTAAATACGGAGATAATAGATAATTCAAGAGAGAAATTTGGCCAAAGGTGTAAACAGGTCTGTCATAAAATAGGAAATCCAAACAGTCAATAAAGACAAAAAGGTTCTCAGACTCATTGATTGTGAGGAAAATGAAAATGAAAATTACCTTGAGATAACTGTATCCTCAAAATTGGAAAGCCAGTATTTAATTTGAGATAATGGTGGTGACATCTGAGGGTGAGGGAGACATGGAGGCATTAAAGGTAAGGCTCATATCCCAGTTCTTTAATATCTGATGGATATCATGTATATCCCTCTATCACTCTACTAATATTTTATAAAAAAACATTAAAAAGGAACATTGTTTATAGTGCATGATACATAGTTTCATTTAATAAACTTACAGTTTATACTGTTTTGGAATCCATTAGCCATTTGAGTTTATTTCATGCATACCTGGCAATTCCATGTACAAAACAAAATACATATCCAATATAAGTTGACATTTCTTGGTGTATGATTTTTGCTTAAAATTAAGAATTTAGTGAGTTTTTTAAAGGAAATTTGTAAACATCTGATAAATAATAACCCTGGTTATATTATAGTTTGAAGGGGGAACAAAAGCACTAATTCAAGATCCCAGGGCTCTACTTCATAACTCTTTATTTTTTTTTTAAAGATTTATTTATCTTATACAAGAACTGGGTACAGTCAGAGGCGTGGGAGGGTGAGAGAATTCACTAGAGACAGAGCTGGGAGCAGAACAGGCAGATGGACTGAAGACATTGCTGAGGGGAGCAGCGGGCGAGGCAGGAGAGGTCTGCCCTGCCATGTGGGTTTCTCCCTGGCTGGCCGGGAATCAAACCTGTGATGCAGAGACTGTGAACAGCTTCACAGCATGGCCCTCAACCCGCTGCGCCACCGGGGAGGCCCTACTTTACATCTCTTTAAATGGGCAAAACCATTTGAATATGAAATAAGATTCTCAAATAATATTTTCTTGTTTTAATTACTTTAAAAATCAAGCCCACAGCTTTTAAAATGTAGAGGATGCTTCCCTAGATCCAGTCCTAAGAACTCTTAAAGAGCCAAAGTGTTTAAAGAAATGAAAAGAGAATAGCCAAAGAAGTCATAATAGAACTGTTTCCATTTTGACTCTGCTTTCTGAAAGATTTTTCTCTTAGGAGAAAATTTTTCCATTTGCAGTTTTAACTCAAAGCTA